ACGCACGCTTGAATCTAGCTACCGCGCTATTAACACTGAGGCTCAGCTCACTGCCTTTTCGCCACCGCTGTGCGCTACCCTGTAGCTCCTTGCCACATGCTTCCTCGACCGCCTAGCCACTGCCCACGACCACTTCCTCAGTCAGCACCCGGGTGACCTCACCCTTCCCGCCTTTGTCACAGCCCTGTCCGCGATAGAGACCCGCCAGCGCACTATCGCTCAGTCTAGCGGTACTGCGCCGGTCCCTATCTTTCAGGGCTGTTCTCCCTCCCAGTGTTCTTACTCTGACGTCTCTGCTGCTATTGCTGAGACTGCCGCTGCAGCCTCCGCGCAGTCGCATCTGGGTAAGGGCCGCTGCTTGAAGGGGGAGCGAGGTGGAGGGAAGGGGGGTGGGGGTGGGGAGGGTGGAGGAGGTGGGGGCGGGGACGGTGTTTCGGACGAGGGGACAGAGGCTGGTGCCTCGGAGCAGCAGCAGCAGCAGATGCAGCCTCAACAACAGCAACAGCAGCAGACTCCGCAGAAGCAGCAGCAGTCGCAGCATCAGCAGCAGCAGTCGCCGTGGGGACCCTCGTCGCTGTGGTGGACTGGCGGCGCTGGTGGCGGTGGTCGTGGTGGTGGCGGCCACAGCTCGGTGTCGGGCGGCGGCTCCAGCGCGGTCACGTGCCAGTACCAGCTTCAGACCGGCCCTCGCCGCGGCACCTTCTGCTCCCGGCCCGGCCACATCGTCGACCGCTGCTACCACCGCCGCTTTGGACCCACGTCAGACCCTGCTGACTGGTAGGCTCTGGCTCGCCGCCGTGTGCCTGTCTTTGAGCTTGACACGGATCAGATTAGGGCTGCTATTTCTGTTATGTATGCTGATGAGTCTAGCATGATTGGACCCTATAACCTAGTGCTTCCTAGCGTAGTTGTGTCCACTGTGTGTAGTCTAAGCTCCCGTGCTGTGTCAGGCGTAGGACCCTCTGCCTTGTTTTGCCTAGGCTCTACGCTAGCCCCTCCGCCGGCTGACACCACTGCGTCGGTCTCCTTTACGCTCGACTCTGGCGCGTTCGCCTACTTCTTTCGTGACCACGCTACGCTCACGCTGCTTGCTGCCCCTGCGACTGTCGCACTTGCTGGCCCTTCCTCATGTCCGGTAGTAGCCCGTAGCTCCACTACCCTCCCCTGTCCGGCGGTCCCCTCGGGCTCTCTTACAAGCCTGCACATCCTCTCGTTTTTTAGGAACCGTGTTGGTGTCGGCTGTCTTCAGGACCTCGGTGTCACCACTACGTTCCCCCGGACACGTGCGGTACGCGGTCTGTACTGACACCTGGTGCCCCTTTGTCCACTTTCCCCCGGGACCTGGTTTCCGGCCTGTTTACCCTTGACACAGCGTCCCCCCCGGTACGGGCGTCCCCCCAGGTGCCTGCGGCGACTCAGGTCGTCGCGACTTGCTCGTGTCGGTCGCTTACTCACCCGTCGCTGCTATGGCACCACCGCCTAGGTCACTCCGCACTCCCGCGTCTGCGTCACACGTCCCATCATGGTCTTTTCTTTGGTCTCCCTACGTCGTTCCCTCCCTGGACCCCCTGCCTGCGCCTCCCCCGCCGCCGCCTCCCCTGCCTGTCCACGGTTGCCTTGCACCCCCGGTGCAGCCCAATATGCTACTTGCATATTGGCAAAGGGCACCGCCCTACCACGCTGCTCACACCACCGGTGTGGAGCCTTGTCCTCCACGCCCGCCCATGGGGCAAGCATTTGCCATGCGGCCCTGCTAGCCATAGCGGAAACACACTCCCTTCAAGCGAGGCTGCTGGCACGTGAGGGGAGGGGAGCCTTTGAGCTCCATGTCACCGTCTTGACCACCAAGACGACCGCCGCGGGGATAGGTGGCTCGCGCGCATTTGAGGGCAGCTACATCGGCTACCACGAGCTTGAACAAGCGGGACGTGAGCACGCTCTTGGACTGGTAGAGCTGGAAGTGATCAGCGGCCTCGAAATCGGCCCCGTCCGCCACAAGAAGCACCTCGAAACGCTTATGAATAAGCAATTCGACGTGTTTCATGTTGTTGAGCGTAGCGGCCACGTTGCCATGCTGCAGCTCGTACTCAATATGTTGTAGGTGGGCTTGAATAACAGTGAAGACTTCGGCTTGGTCCCGCACGCCCTTGCGCACGAAGGTAGTTGCTGCGGGCGTGGGACCAAGGGGGGGAAGGGGGGAAGTGGGGGCAAGAATGCGACGGCGAGCAAGGTTGGTAGGAACCTCACCATCTTCATTTCCGGAGTCTTCGCTGTCGTCGATGTCGTTGACGGGCGCGGGAACTGGTGCCTGGGGCTGGTTGTCAGTGAAATTGGTCGTAGCAGTTATTTTGTACGGAGAAGTTCTGATTGTAATAATAGGCTGCTGCTGGTGTAACATTGCCAGCAACTGCTGCGCAGTCAACACGGGGGCGGCGGTGGCCGGCGTGACCTCGTCAACGGGCATGCAGCTGGCTGGGCCCACCTGGCCTGCAGCCGTTGTGGCGTGCGCAGGTGCGTGCTCCTCAGGTGGCAGCACGCGCGTCTGTTTGGCAGCCGCACGTGTTTCTTCGGGAGGGGCGTGAGTGGCTCCGAGGAGGATCTCGACAGCCGAGGGCCCCTCGTCAGAATTGTCCTCAGCATGACGTTTCTGGCGACAGGCGGTTACCCTGGCCGCAGTTCCGGGCTCCGCGGGGTTAATGGGGGTAGTAGCCTTGGTCGTCGGGCGATTAGGAGTCGTGTTCGCGAACGCCATCGAAGCGAGGTTGTGCTTCAAAATGTCGGTGAGCAGCGTTGTCGAGGCCTTCCCTCGAGGAATTGATAGGGTTTTTGCCAGGTTGGACGAGGACGGAAAATAGAACTAGAGGAAGTAGAAATGACGAACGTGGGTGAGGCCAAATGGCCTCACGTACCTCTTTTGTAGGTAAAAGAGGGTGAGTAGCGCTTCGACGCTGCATTTGCTGCGTTCGCCCTCGCTACTCTTTCACAGTATACAATTTTTAGAAAGCGTTACACGCTTTCAAAAAATTACATAGAGTATAAATCCATACATTCGCTGGTAACAGCAAGTTGGGAAAAAATGGAGCTCTTCCCTAGCTGTGAGTCAAACATGGGACGAACATGCTTCGGCCGAAGGGAATTCTCTAGCGAGCGAAACAGACATCGAGCTGTAATGACGTCCTAGGAAGAAGTCCCCGCCCGTCACATCCCATCATTGGTCACCGCCCGTCACCGCCACGCGGCCACCGCCCTTCACCGCCCATCACCACCCATCACCGCCTGTCACCGCCTGTCACCACCCGCCACAACCCGGCCTCCTCCCCTCACCGCCCAACACCACCCGTCATCACCCGCCACAGCCCACCGCCCATAACTGCCCGCCAACGTCTGCCACTGCCTGCCGGCCGTCATCGCCCATCACCGCCCACCACCGCCCACCACCGCCCACCACCGCCCGCCACCGCCGGTCACCGCCAGTCACCGCCGGTCACCGCCGGTCACCACCCATCAAAGCCTGTCACTGCCCGTCACCGACGGTCACACCCCGGCACCACACGTCACTGCCCAGCACCACACGTCACCGCCCAGCACCGCCTGTCACCGCCCACCACCGCCCATCACCACCAGGGATAGAGGGGATAGGGATAAAGGGGATAGGGATAGAGGGGAAATGGATAGGAAGGATTGGGGTAGGGGGGATAGGGATATGGAGGATAGAAAATGGGGGGAATATGGGCAGGGGGGATAGGGATCCCTATAGACGGGATGGGGATAGGGGGGAATAGGGATTGGGGGGATAGGCAGCGAGGGGATAGGGATAGTGAGGATAGAAAATAGAGGGGAGAGGGATAGTGGGGATAGGGATAGAGGGGATTGGGATAGATGGAATAGGGATAGAGGGGATAGGAATATATGGTTTAGGGATAGTGGGGATAGGGACAGAGCGGATAGGGATTGGGGGGGGAGGAATAGGGGGGATGGGGATAGGGGGGATAGGGATAGAGGGGACGAGGATAATGGGGATATGGACAGAGGGGATAGCAAGGGATAGGGGGGGCATACGGATAGAGTGGATAGGGATAGTGGGGATAGAGATAAAGTGGATAGGGATAAGAAGTTAAGGATTAAGGGGATATGGATAGAGGGGATAGGAATAGGGCGGTAGGGATAGGGGGGATAAGGAGAGGGGGGATAGGGATAGGGCGGATAGACAAAGGGGCGCCAGGGATAGAGGGGATAGGGATAGGGGGGATAGGGATAGAGTCGATAGGGATAGGAAGGATAGGGATAGGGTTAGGCGGGAGAGGGATAAAAGGGGGTGGGATTGGGGGGATAGGGATAGGGGGGATAGGGATAGAGGGGAAAGTGATAGAGGGGATAGGGATAGCGGGGATAGGGATAGCGGGGATAGGGATAGCGGGGATCGGGATAGGGGGAATAGGGAAAGGAGGGGGGATAAGGATAAAGGGGATAGGGAAAGAGGGGATAGGAGGGGATAGGGATAGGGGGCATACAGATAGAGGGGATAGGGAGAGAGGGGAGAGGTATAGAGGGTATAGGGATAGAGGGGATAGGGATAGAGTAATAGGGGGTATGGATATAGGGGATAGGAAAAGGGGCGTTAGGGCTAGAAGGGAGAGGATTAGAGGGGATAGGGAATAGGGGGGATAGAGTTATAGGAAATAGGGATATAGGGGATAGGAATAGGGGCGTTAGGGATAGAAGGGCGAGGAATAGAAGGGATATGGATAGGGGGGATAGGGATACAGGAGATAGGGATAGTGAGGATAGAAAATTGGGGGAATATGGATAGGGATAGTCGGGATGGGGATTGAAGGGATAGGGATAGAGGGGATAGGGAGAGGGGGGATAGGGATAGAGGGGATAGGAATCGGGGGGATAAGGATAGAAGGGATAGAGATAGAAGGGATTGGGAGAGAGTGGGGATACAAGCAGGATAGAAAATAGGGGGGATATGGATAGGGAGGATAGGGATAGAGGGGACAGGGATAGGGAGGATAGAAATAGAAGGGATAGGTATAGAAGGCATCATGACAGTGTCGCGTTACCCGCGGAAAGACATGAGCCTTCCCACGGTTAACACAGCAGCGAAGCAAGTGGTGAGTGGAGGAAAGAATTGGAAGTAGAGATTGGATATACAAGAAAAGTATAGGCTGGACAAAGAGAGGTACAGTAGAGTACTGTAGTAGCTCGGTAATGAGCGAATCGAGGGTGGAGAAATTGGAATGCCGAGTATCGAGGCGCGAGCAGGAATAAGGGGAAGTGCGTCAGCAAGGGACAGATCTGACGAGAAGCTGGGCCGAGGGCAATCTCAGTTCTCAAGGGGATAACAAGGAGGAGGGAGAGGAAGGAGAGAGCGTTGGACGTGTAAATAGGAGGCGACTCAGAAGGACTAGCGCTTTTCGCTTGTATGTTTTCATTCTATACTGCAATTTGCTATAATCCTACTGGAGTCTAGCAGTGCGGGAATTCGATCTCAAGTAGATCCGAGTAGGCGGCGTGCGGCTTGTAACATAAGGAGAGCTCGGTCCCACAGCCCCAGTAATAACCTACCAGAGGCGGAAGGGACATATAGGGCAGAAGAAAGGCAATGAGGAAGGATAGGTGGAGTAAATGGGAGAGAAGGTAGGAGCACGACAACAGGGGGGATAGGGATAGGCAGGATAGAAAAAGGGGGGATAGGGATAGGGAGGATAGGGATAGTGGGGATAGGGATAGAAGGGATAGGGATAGAGGAGATCGGGAGAGAGGGGATCGGGAGAGAGGGGATCAGGAGAGAGGGGATTGGGATATAGGGGAGTTGAAACCTCCTTGGTAGGAGAGGACAAGAAAGGGTTGGGGTTATAAATCCCAGAGCAAGGCGATTGAGAGACAAGAGAAGGGGATTCAAACCCCCAAGTTCAGGCGAGCAGAAGGCAGAGGAGGGAGACCCCCCTGCCCGTTGCTCGCCCCAACCTGAAGGTTTCAACCCCCCTCTTTCCCCCTGCCCCTCGCCTGCCATACCAAGGGATCTCCAACCCGACCCCCCTGCCTTGCTCTTTCTATACCCTGGGGGGTTTCAACCCCCCTCTACTGCCACTCACTCACCTTACTCATGGGGTTTCAACCCCCTCCCCCTCCCTCACTTACCACCACCACCACCACTCCCACTGCCTCTCACCACCACCACACACCACCATCTCCCAGCCCTCCCAGCCCACCCAACCCCTACCCACTTTCACCTGCCAGCAGTAGGAGCAGCAGACAGCCCACTGCCCTTCAAAAACAGCAGCCCAAGTGGCTGTGCCTTGTGGGGCGAGGAGTGGAAGTGGAAAAGCGTTTCCAGCCCAAGACTCAAATCCCACCCCTGACGTGGCTAGAGCTGACGCGAACCAGAGCCACCAGCCGGCACGACTCTGACGGTGTCCATTAAGCCTTAAACGCCAGATCGGTTACTTGAGCACCGAGTGCCGTGCCGCAGCGATTCCACCAGCCACACCCCGCCCACCAGCCACAACCACCGAGGATGCTGCCTCTCATGTAGTGACCTGGCTGCACACTCCCATGCTTCCTCCCCTCTCCCCCTCACCCCCAAATCCTCCCCCACCTCTCCCCCCTCCCATACCAGCAGACCTCCTTACCTCTACCTACCAGAACAGTGCAGAGTGGTGCCAGGTTGCCTGAGGCTGTTGGGAAGGGAAGGAGAATTAGGGCGGGGACTCCTCACCCACTGGGCCCAAGGCATGCTGCTGGGGAAGGAAGGGGAGGTGCGTGGGGAGAGGGGGGAGGTGGAGCGGGGAAGGGTGGGGCGGGGTGGGGTGAGTGAAGGGGGCTCCACTCTCCTGGCTTGCTCCAGTGCTCCCAGATCCGCCCTCCAGCCCTTGCTGCAGGTGTGCTGGTGGGGAGGGAGGGGGAATGGGGGAGAGGGGGAGGTGAGTGAAGGGGGGGGCTGCACTCTCTCCTTCCCTTGCTCCAGTTCTCCCCGATCCATCCTCTAGCCCTTGCTGCAGGTGTGCTGGTGGGGAGGGAGGGGGAATGGGAGAGAGGGGGAGGTGAGTGAGGGCGGGGGCTGCACTCTCTCCTTCCCTTGCTCCAGTGCTCCCCGATCCATCCTCCAGCCCTTGCTGCGGGTGTGCTGGTGGGGAGGGAGGGGGGATGAGAGAGAGGGGGAGGTGAGTGAGGAGGGGTTGCTCCACTCGCTCCTGCCGGTGCTCCAGTGCTCCCATCCAGAGCCTGCTGAGGGGATGGGGAGATAGAAAGGAGGGGGGGGATAAGATCACCATACCTGTTACCGCACCTCACCTCTTACCATACCTCACTCACAACTTGACCTAGCCTGCCCTGTAAACCCCCCCCTTCCGAAACTACTGCTGCTGCCTCTGTTTCAACTGATTCAACTGCTTTTGCTGCTGCTGCTGTTCTGCTGCTGCTAGTTCTCTGGTGCTGCTGCAATCTTCAGTGGTTGCCAAGTGACCTGGTAGGGGGGTGTCCTTGAGAATTCTCAAAAACACCGTGCAAAATCAATCTTCAGTGGTTGCCAAGTGACCTGGTCGGGGGGAGAAGTGGTGGAAGACAGGCAAGGGAAGGTGGGGACAAATTATAAAGCGGCCAAGTGGCCTCGTCACCTATCGGCCCCGCGGCCCCCACGCCTAGCCACCCGCAGCCCCGTCGCCTAGTCGTCTCGGCGGCCCCGTCGCCTAGTCGTCTCGCCGGCCCCATCGCCTAGCCACCAGAGGCCCCCGTCTTCTAGCCGCCAAGCCGGCCTCGTCGCCGAGTCGCCCGCGGCCCCGTCATCTAACGGCCGCGTGGCCCCGTCGCCTCGCCGACCAGCTGGCCTCGTCGCCTAGCCGCCCGCGGCCCTGTTCTCTAGCCGTCCCGGCCAGCCCCGTCGCTCAGCCGCCTGCTGCTCCGTCGCCTCGCAACCACGTCGGCCCCTCCCACCGCACTACTCCGCACTCTACCGCACTACACCGCGCTCCACCGTACTGCCCCGCTCTCTACCACACCGCACCGCTCACCACTGCTTCCTGTCGCACTCCTTCGCCCAGTACAGCCCACTATCGCCTGTCAGTTGCTGCAGCGACCAGGATGACGGACTCGGTGCTGCACTTTGACGCGGAGGGTCAGCCGGTCGAGTTCGACACGTGGCTCGTCGGCCTCCGCCATCACCTCACTGGTCAGCGGCAGGATGGCCACTCCCTGGCCGTCCACCTCGACGGTACGCTACCTTGTCCTGACCCCCCTTCTGCTCTACCCGTTGACCCCACGTCAGCTCACTGTGAGTCCGCTGCCGCTGCTGCCCTTGCCCGTGCTGTGTGGTTGTCGCGTAATGCTGTCGCATAGCTCGTGATTAGTCATGCCCTCCCCTTGTCTGAGCGCCCCCACTTTCGGCCGGTCAGGACTGCGCAGGAGTTCCTAGAGGCTGTTGTCGCCCGCTATTCCACCCCGCCCTCTACCTCTGTCGGTCGCCTGATCATGCCCATGCTCTTTCCTGATCTCGCGTCCTTCTCCACTGTCGCTGACCTCGCCACGCACTTGCGCACGCTAGACTCGACCTGGTGCGCTGCCTGCACTGAGGCACAGCTTAGTGTGTTTCAACCCCCCATCTGCTCCACCCTCTACCTGCTTGCCACCCGAATCCTGACCGCCTTGCTACTGCCCGCAATCACTTTCTTAGTCCCCACCCCCGAGACCTCACCCCCACTGACTTTGTCGACACCCTGTCTGCTATAAAGACTCGTCAGCGCTCTATCGCCCAGTCTAGCGGTACTGCGCCAGTCCCTATCTTTCAGGGTTGTGCCCCCGCTCAGCGCACTTACTCTGACGGTTCTGATGCTGTCATTGAGACAGCCCCTGCCGCAGAGACAGTCGCCGCAGCGCAGTTTCGTCCGGATAAGGGTCGACGCCCCAAGGCTGGGCGCGGCGGAGGTAGCGGAGGAGGGGGTGGCGGCGGGGGTGGAGGTGGTTCGCCCGCTGGTAGTTCCGACGAAGGCGCTGGGGCTGGTGCCTCGGAGCAGTAGCCACAGCAGCAGCAGCAGTAGCAAGCGCCGCCGCAGCAGCAGTAGCTGCAGCCACAGCAGCAGCAGCAGCAGGAGCAACAGCAGCAGCAGCGGCGGGTCGGCCGTCTACCACCTGGGTGGCCTGGCGCCGGTGGTGGAGGTGGTCGCATTGGTCGTGCGTGCAGCGTGTCGTCGGGTGGTGGTGCGAGTGACAGGCGCTGTCAGTACCAGCTCCAGACCGGACCTCGCCGCGGCCTCGTTGTTTTAATCGCCTAGACTACCTGTTTCGTCTCCGCTTCGGCCTGGCGCCAGACCTCCCAGACTGGCACAGTCTGCTCCGCCGTGGTGTTAGGATCTTTCATATGGACATGGACGAGATCAGCTCTGCGTTGTATGTACTGTATGTCGATGACTCTAGTGTGACTGGTTCCTATTTCCCTTTGTTGCCCAGTGTAAGTGTGCCTAGTTCGGGCTCCCCTACTGTGTCAGGCGTAGGATCCCTGCTTTGTTTAGTCTTGGCTCCACCCTCGCTCCTCTGACCCCTGCCGCCACTACTGCGCTCTCCTTCACCCTGGACTCCGGCGCTTCCCGGTGTTTCTTTTGGGACTCCACTACGCTTATGCCGCTTGCCGCTCCCGCCGCAATTGCCCTTGCAGACCCTTCCTCAGGCCTTGTAGTCACCCGTAGCTCCACCACCCTCCCCTGTCCGGCGGTTCCTTCGGGCTTCCTTACAGGCCTGCACATCCCCTCGTTCTCTAGGAACCTAGTTGGTGTCGGCTGCCTCCAGGACCTTGGCGCCACCACTACGTTCCTGGTCACGAGCGGTACGCTGTCTATACCGAGGTCGCCACTGGTGCTCCCCTCACCACGTTCCCCCAGGACCCGGTGTCTAGCCTGTTCACGCTGGACACCGCGTTCCCCTTGGTTGGGACATCTCCCCAGGTGTCTGCGTCTACCCAGGTTGCTGCGGCTTGCTCGTCTCGGTCGCTTACTCATCCGACGCTTCTCTGGCACCACCGTCTAGGTCACCCCGCCCTCACCCGTTTTTGTCACATGTCTCAGCACAGTATTGTCTTAGGTCTCCCTACGTCGTTCCCTGCACTACCCTCCTCACCAGTGCCGCCATGCATGCCCTGCATCGAGGGCCGGCTCCGCCGTGCCCCTCACTCCTCCTCGTTCACCCCCACCGTCGCACTGCTGCAGACCCTGCACCTGGACGTCTTGGGCCCCGCCCCCGTCCATGGGCCGCGTCGAGAGCGTTACTTCCTAGTGCTTGTGGACGACTACACGCGCTACACCACGGTGTTTCCCCTGGAGCGGAAGGCCGACGTGCTTGACGTTCTTATCCCGTGGCTTATCTCTGCGCGTGTTCACCGCGGTTTCCCTGTGTTGCGCCTTCACTCCGACCGTGGTGGCGAGTTTGCCTCTGGCTGCCTTGGTCGCTTCTTTCGTGCGGAGGGCATCACCCAGGCGTACACCCTACCGGACTCCTCGCAGTAGAATGGGGTCGCTGAGCGACGCATCGGTTTGGACATGGAGGTGGCTCGTACCTCCATGATCCATGCCGGTGCACCCCATTTTCTGTGGCCGTTCGCTGTTCGCTACGCTGCTCATCAGCTTAACCTGTGGCCGCACCCTCAGCAGGCGTAGATTTCGCCAACCCTTCTCTACACCGGGTCCCCTGGTGACGCGTCTGCGTTCCATGTCTGGGGCTGCCTTGCTCGTGCCTCTGGCACGGACAAGTTCTCTGCTTGCACCGTCCCCTATGTCTTCCTAGGTTTCCCCCTCGACTCGTCTGACTGGCACTATTACCACTCGCCGTCTCACCGCTTCTTTCACTCTCGCGACGTCACCTTTGACGAGTCCGTTTCCTATTACCACTGCTTTCCCCACCGTGGTCCTCCGGTTACACCCCCCCCCTATTCCTGGACCCCCCTCCCCAGGTTGCCTCGGCTCCCCCCCCTCCCCTCCCTGCCCCGTCTGGTGTGCCTCGCGTCACCCCTCCCCTGTCGAGTGTCCCTGCCAAGGAGTCTGCTGACTCTCGCGGCACTACGGAGTCCCTCCCTCCGCCCCTCCCCGCCCCGGTCTCTTCTCCCCCGTCACCGCCGTTGCTGTCCCCGCCGCAGCCGCCGTCGTCACCGCCGCTGGGGTTCGTGCGTTCTGGGGGTGCTGGGGAGCGTGCTGGGGCGGGTACTAGAGCAGGTGCCCGCTCTGGGGGTGCTGGCGTGGAGCTTCTCAAAGGGAGCCGTGCTGTCGCTGGAGGTTCTGGTGTTGGAGTCGGGCAGCAATCGCAGCAGTCGCCAACGGTGTCCGCTCTTCGCCTCCTCGGTCTTCCTTCCCCTGCCCGCCTACCGGTGCCTCCTCTGTCGCCGCCGCCTCCTCCTCCGCCGGTCTATGGCCCAGTGTTTCCTTCCCCGGAATCCTCTCCGGCTCGTTTCCCTCCCCATTCTCCTCCTTTGTCTCCTCCCCTCTCTCTTGACCCGACTCCTCCGTCTCACGTCTGGTCTCATCGTCCGTCTCGTGCTCATCCTACCTCCCCTGTTCAGCGGTCTCACCCTATATTGCTTCGCTCCCATGCGTCTCGTGCTCCTCCGCTCGTCCCGTCTCCTCCTCCGTCGTCGCTTGCTGTGGCCCCGCCCCCGTTCTCTAACTTTCTTCGTACTGCGCGTCCCCTTGTTCCTCGTGTCCTTGCCTATCATGTTACCGACCCGTTCGTTCTTGTCTCGAGTCTGTCAGCTCTTGTCGCTGCTGTCACTGACTTTGCCGCTACCCACAGCCTTGACTACGCCACCGCTCTGGTCTCTGACCTTGCCTGCCCTCCGTCCATCGGGGGTGTGGCTGCCCTTGGCAGTGACGTCCTAGGGGACAGGCAGTACGAGCTCGCTTTCCTGTTTGAGGCCGCTCCCCATCTTTGTTCCATGCTGCTAGTCCCTGAGGGTGACCCAGATGCCCTTGACATCCTGACCCCTCGCACCTACGCTGAGGCCACCTCGGGACCCTGGGCCTCTCAGAGGATAGCTGCCTTGGAGTAGGAGATGGCATCTTGGAGATCCACCGGTACCTTCGTCGACGCAGCTCCCCCACCTGGGGTGAACGTAGTCGATGTCCGATGGCTCTTCAAGGTGAAGCGCCCTCCTGGAGAGCCGCTTGTCTTCAAGGCGCGCTACATTGCTCGAGGCTTCAATCAGAGTGAAGGGGTGGACTTCATTCAGACCTTCGCCCCGACCCCGAAGATGACTACTCTTCGAAGGCTGCTACACGTAGCAGCACAGCGTGACTACGAGCTTCACTCCCTCGACTTCTCCACAGCTTTCCTCCAGGGCAGTCTACACGAGCAGGTCTACCTGCGCCGCCCCCAGGGCTTCTCTGGTACCTTTCCCCCTGGTACCCAGTGGCTCCTCCGGCGCCCCGTCTACGGCTTGCGACAGGCGCCCCGTGAGTGGCACGATACGCTGCGTGCTACACTTGCTAACCTGCAGTTCTTCCCGTCCTCTGCAGACCCCTCGCTCTTCGTACGTTCCGGCCAGAATCTGTTCTACATCCTTGTCTACGTAGACGACCTGGTCTTTGCTACTACAGACAGAAACGCGCTGGCCTCTGTGAAGGCCGAGCTGCTGAGGAGACACACCTACGCTGACCTAGGAGAGCTGCGCCACTACCTTGGCCTGCAGATCTCCAGGGACAGAGCAGCGTGCACCATCACTCTCACACAGTGACACTTGGTGCGCCAGGTCCTTCAGAGGTTCGGTCTTCAGTTCTTCTCTGCACAGCCCACACCTCTGCCGGTAGATTACAGGCTCTCTGCTCCAGTTCCTGATGAGTCAGTAGAGCCCTGTGGTCCTTACGCAAAGCTAGTGGGTTGCCTCATGTATCTGATGACTTGCACTCGTCCAGATCTCGCATGCCCTCTCAGCAATCAGGCAGACACTGACCACAGCACTGGTCGGCCGCTAACAGGGTTTTGCGTTATCTAGCAAGTACATCAGGCATGGGAATCGTGCTGGGAGGACGCATGCTAGTGGTCCTTGCTGGGAACACAGACGCTTCGTGGGCAGACGCTGAGACCCTCAGGTCCTCCCAAGGCTACTGCTTTAGCCTTGGTTCAGTTGCCATCTCGTGGAGGTCCACTCGTTCCTCGTCTGTTGCCCAGTCTAGCTGTGAGGCTGAGATCTACGCTAGTGCCATGGCGGCACAGGAGCTCCGCTGGCTGACCTTTTTGCTCACTGACTTAGGTGAGCGGCCTAGCTCTGCCCCGGTTCTGTACGCTGACAACAGGGCCATGATCCTCGTGTGTCAGGAGCCTCGACTTGAGGGCAGAGCGAAGCACATCTAGTTGTGGTACTTCCTCCTGCGCGAGCTACAGCAGCGTCGACAGGCCCGCGTAGTACACTTGGCCTCCGGTGCCAACACAGCTGATATCTTTACGAAGGCGCTTGCGCCTAAAGATAATCAGCGGCACTGTGTACAGCTTGGTCTCGTTCCTGTAGCCTCTCATTTGCTGGGACATTGATTGTGTACTGAACTTTATATATATTAGCCTGACTGGCCTTGTGGCCTCGTCCCAGTGGCTGGACTAGTAGTGCCGCCCTGGTTTTGCTTTTGCCTTGTTTGTACTCGTTTGACTGGTCTTAAGACCGTTGCCTAAGAGGCTGGACTAGTAGTGCCACCCTGAGCTGCTTGTCTCTCACCAGACACTGCCCCTATCAAGTTTAGGGGGTGTGTCAAAACATATCTTTGTATGTTGTTATAGACTACACAGGGTTGTGCCTTAGAGAGTATAACCCACTAGGATATATTCCCTTGTATGCCGTGGTTCAACTCATTCGTTAACTTTGATACATAGCACTATGAATACGGAAACGCCCGTGTCATTTGGAATCACTTGGTTCTTGTGATCTTTTACAGTGACATGATAGGCACATGACAGGATCTGCCAGGGAAGAGCACACCAAGGGGACAACAAATCGGAATCGTGTCAGCGAGACGACCTCAAGACTGCATAAATACAGGGTGCGAGTGCTTGAATGCTTGTGCATGTGCATGGGAATGTGAACATGCAAGTAACTTACCAGGTGGTGCAGTGTCAGACGAAGGAGCAAAGATGATATCTCCATCTCGGATCATGTCAGTATCAGTGATCTCTCCACCATCCTTGTTCAACAGAACTTTCACAGGAAAACCAAGCAGAGTGCTCAGCTGATCTTTGAGCGTGACCATGAAGTGAGGTACCAGCACCACCTTTCCATACCGTCTCCCCATAGATGAGCTCTCTTCTCCAGCCCTTCTCTCAACACCTCCTTCCCCTCCGGGTCTAGTCGATGCAGCAGGCCCTGCTAAACGCACTGCCCGGTCTGCAGGTGATTCCTCAGGCGGACTTTCACGTGGTTGAGCTTGCTCGCTAAGAACATCCCTTCCAGGAGAACATTCAGGTGGTTTGCCAGGTTCATCAGTGTCCCAAGGGTGGCAGGGGAAGACGGTTATCCGACGGTTGGCCACAGATGGGGTGGGTGGAGGAGGCATGGCTCTGAAAGAACCCGTGAAAGATCCTGCAGGCATGTAATTGCGGTGAGGGTAGGGAGTGATAGGCTCTCCTATGAGTGGTCCTGACAGGGGCTGGCTGGTTGCATAGGGAGTAGGTGGCTCTGGATGGGAAGGTATATGTGGGGTTTGTAGGAGCTGAGTGCGGACCTCGTCCAGAGCCGAGAGCAGGGCTGTAGAAGAGCGACCAATGCTCCTGCTCTCAGTGTTGATCGTGAGGTTTGCCAGCCGCCGTTGTGCATGGGGAGCAGAGGTTACGCCAGAGGCAGCTGGAGCAGGGGGGAGGGCAGCAGAAGAAGAGGGGTATGGCGGAGGGGATACGGTGTGTGCAGCGTGTGTGGTGTGTGGATGTGGGATGGGTGGGGGATACGGCCCAGAGAGTGGGAAGGTCCCTGAGGATGAGCGGGGCTGGGATGCCGAGCCATCATACGAGGAAGGTGGGCTCAGGGGAGTGGTAGCATGGAGCTTGGGCGGGAGGGAGTGCGGTAGCGGAGACGCAGGAGGGGTGAAGAGCGGCTGTTGTGAGGCCGTCTGTTGCTCGGACAGGTACTCGTCGAGGACAGAGCCAGGCAGGTTGTCCAGGAGGTCGCTGGGGATGTGCACTGAGCTGGTGGGGCGGCGGCGCAGGTGCATCACGCGCTGCTGGAGGAAGGGGTCAGAGGGCAGGCAGGTGGAGGGGGAGGCGGTGCCAGAGCTGCTGCCCTCAGGGACGGATTCGATCTGGTCTGACCAGGTGTCAATGCTGTGGGAGCGCTGCCTGCTGGGCTGGGTGTGGTGGGGAGTTGTGGTGGTGTTGCTGGTGCTGCCGGTGGTGCCGGTGGTGCCGGTTGTGTTGGTGGAGGATGAGGGCGGGTGGTGAGTGTGGCGACGGCGTTGCGAGCCTCCTCGGGTGAGAGAGGTCCGTCCAGCTGCAGGGAGGAAAAGATTGGGAGATAGTATGGGGTTTGAAAGGACAGAGAATTAGAGGGCAGGCTTGGAGATTCAGACAAACATCAGGATGGGTAATGAGTGGTGGTGAGGAGTGAGACATACAATAGTGCTACAAGCCCGATGCCCTACAGCCCAGAAAAACACAAAGCCCTTGCGACTCCCACTCCTCTCAGAGACATACCTGGTGGCCGACTTGCCAGCGGCGGCAGCTTGACCCTCATGCCATCCTTGAGCAGCGCAATCACCGGCCTGGCTCCGTTCCTACAGGCCTCATCCACTGGCAGGTTATCCAACCGGTCCCGTGCCCACGGGTTCGCCCCGTGCTCCAGCAGCAGCCGCACGAGCACCACGGAGCCCTCCGCTGCTGCCACGTGCAGGGGCGTGCGCAGGTCGTGGTCTGCCTCGTTGGGTTCGAGCCCGAAGGAGAGGAGGCGCTCGAGGTACTCCACCATGCCGCGCTTCACCGCATGGCACAGCTCGCTCGCTGGGTCGTCTAGAAGGACCTGGGCGCCATGCTCGCGCAGTACTTCTGCTGTCTGCATGTGGCCTGCTCGCAGGGCTTCCAGCAGTGGCGTCACTCCAAACCGATCTGAAAGCCAAAGGGTGGACATGAAGAGGAGAGACGCAGGGGAGGCAGGGAGATAGGGCAGGGGGATAATGAAGGAGGAGGAGGCGCTCGAGGTACTCCACCATACCGCACTTCACCGCGTGGCGTGGCACAGCTCGCTCGCCGAGTCGTCCAGTAAGATTTGCGCGCCTTGGTCCTGAAGGACCTCAGCGGTCTGCATGTGGCCCGCCCGTAAGGCTTCCAGCAGTGGGGTCACTCCAAACCCATCTGAAGAGCATGAAAGAAGGCGGCAAAAGATGGGAAAGCAATGAAAGCACAATGGTGTTAGGAGGATTGAAGGCTGCGGAGCAGGACGTGGACACAGTAAGCCTCATTCTGATTCGCGCATTGAACCATCCCATGTTGCGTACTGCTCACCTTTCCTGTTGACATCTGCTCCCTCTCTTAGAATAAAACTGCATACTTCAGGAAAGCCCCTAGAAGCTGCTAGGTGCAGTGCAGTCCGGCCGTCAAAGTCCCCTTTCAAGAAGTCCGCCCCAAGCTTCCGAGACACCTTGAGCTGCTCCAAATCCCCCCGTGCTGCCAGCTGTATGGCACCCAGCGTCTGCTGCGCCTGCCGCTGTGTCACGGCTCGGCGCACATCCTCTGCTGTGTCTGTCAGTCGGCCAGCGCTGCCCTCGTTGAACTCCAATGGCCCAGCGTGGCCAAATTTCTGCAGAGAGGGAAGCGGGGAAGGAAGGGTTGGGAGGTGAAGGAGGTTAGACATGCATACATAGGCACCTTGACGAGATGCATGAATCCCCATGCCATGATGCAATGCCATGGCTCAATGACGTGAGCATGTGACATGAATCATGGCGTTCAGCAATGCTGCGAAGAGAGGAAATGATGGCATGGCACCTCACCTGCAAGTAGTTGCTGATGATCCTCTCCCCGTCCTCCTGGTGAAACGCAATGGCCTCTGAGAAGACCTGCCCATCGATCCTCAGCACCTTGCAGAACGACTTGACGTGGGCAGTGAAGGGGGAAAACTTGCTGGCGAGCAACCCCGCCTCCCCAAACATCTCCCCTGGACTCCACACCATGGCCACCCGAGCTCCACTCCTGCTGAAATGGACTTCTTCCTAAACAATGCTCAATGTGAAGGGATACAAAGCAGTAACAAAAGGAGTTGGACATGACGAGCAGTATGTCAGAAAGAGAAATAGGTGGTGAACATAGGAAAGGGAAACTGCCAGGTAATGCAATTTAGGATTGCCCAATGGAAGTTCACACAAGTGCGTCTGGCTCACCACTTCTCCTTGCACGAGCAGATAGAGCTGATGGTTGTTGTCATGCCGACTGACCACTACCTCCCCGGGAAGAAAGTACTCCACTCTCAGTCGTGACACCTGCACCAAGCAGCAGTCATACTTGGAAATTTCTGGCTAAGGACAGAGAAGCCTGGACTACGAGAAGAAGGCAACTGAGGGAGGGAGTTGGGTTAAAACAACAGTCGAAATGATGTGAGCAGGTCAATAGCAGGAAAAACTTAGAGGGTCCAGGAGAGGGAAACGTGCTGTTCAGTGTAGGAACTGGATGAACACCTTGGAGCAGCCCTGGAAGAGGACCTTCCCATGCAGGGACATTGCGACCCCGTCACGGATGGAGATGGTGATACAGGGAGATGGGGTCCAGACCCAGTATACTATCACGCCTACCAGGAACTGGATGAACGCCTTGGAGCAGCCTTGGAAGAGATAGGCATCCGCGATCACCTTCCCATGGAGGGACATTGCGACCCCGTCTCGGATGGAGATCGGGAACTCGTTGACCAACTTGTTGTCCTCCTCCAACGCCTCCTGCTTCAGCACCACGTGCGACAGCAGCTGCTCCTTCATACCCACAGGAATCTGCTTCCTGGTAGCGGAATAGGGATGAAATGCACAAGGATAAAAGTGACGAGGTTTTATTTCATATCTAGTGCCAACAAAATCCAAGACTGGGAAGTGGAAGATGCAGTAAGTCCTCAAACGTTGCAGGCACGCGCAAACTGATGACAACAGGGTGCAGTGCAATGCAGCACCTGTTGGCATATCTGGTAACATTTGAGAGCCGCTCACGCAGAATCTCCGATCTTGACTGGTATCTCACAACCAGCGCTGTGAAGTTGGCGATAAGGTATGCCGTGAACAACATGTCCCAGACCACAAAGGCAATGGTGAAAATCATCTCTCGGGGATTGACAGGATGAACATCGCCATAACCTGAGAATGTCAAAGACATCATGGTAAGAAGAACATTATCGTTAAAGATGACTGCTCCAGTGATCAATCAAGTACACAGTAGATGTACCAGGTGAAGAAGTTAGCCTGCATAGTAGCATTCCCGCATGACTCACCAAGGCTTGCCATTGTCACCATAGCCCAGTAAAGGCTCACACAGTAAAGCTGGAAAATGTTCATCTCTCGAAAGTCAGCGTAGCTCTGGTCTCCAAGCTGAAGGCTTCCAATCCACGTGTAGCCGGATTGGTCTTCAGGCATGGTGAGAGCGAGGAAGTACATGATGCATGCAGCACTGTGGACCACGTAAAACTCCGTGAGAAACATTTCTGTGCAGCGAACGAGGAAATAGTGGTACCGGGTGTCCTTCCCCAGCCTGCATGCAAAGAACAAATAGGTTATCAGGAAAAGGTTGTTTGTACATCGTTCTTGCATTATATATATTAAAAAAAGGGTTGATGATCTTGCCTGTCTGCGAATTCCTTCAGGTGCCGAGCACGGATCAGTCGAAGCCACAAAAGGATTTCAAATATGAGGTGTCCAGTGGCCTGAAACGAGCAACGGGAGAAATGTTATCTTCAGTGGTGTTCTCAGGCGAACACCCAAAGTTCCTCCTTCACCCAAGAGGTTGCGAGAATGGCAGAGCAGGAACGATCATTACGTGGTAAATGTATTCCCATGGAACGCATGAGAGGAGGTCAAGAATGAACCAGGTCTGCAGGTACCTGTGAGATTCCAGAATTAGTGGTAATGCTGAAACAAATGGAAATGAAGTTTACCAGCTGCAACAAATAACCCACCTTATTGCAATTCTCCTTCTGTCAGCTATCAGAGTCCCTGTCCGCTGGTCCTTAACGGCTACTCTAAACGTGATGAAAATGTCCGCCAAGAATATGACATTTGAAATAATGTCAGTGATCAGTAGACCCAGAGGAGGAAATATTAATCGGAAGAAAGCGAACTCAAACGGTGTGATAAGGGAGGAGTATAATGCCGTAATGATGACGACAAGTCTCCAGTACCAATAGAACCTGCCATACAAAACAGAATGCGTCATCAATCAAGCCATGAGAAGCCATGAAAGAACAGAAATCAAAACGAGTGACCATGGCCACACTCTACCTATTGCCTGGCAATATCAGTTGACCAGGATAGACATAGTCCCGGAATAACTCCAGCCAGTGAGTTTTCCGGCTAGGCCGTGGCCTATGTCGCTCTTCGTGCAGCTTGGCTTCCAGAGCAGCTTCTTTAACCACCTTAGCGAGCCGTGAAGCCAACGACGCTGACATGGTGTTCAGGTTCTCTGGAACGGAAAGCTCGAAGTCGGAGTTCCCCAGCATGTTGGCTTCCCCGTTACTTCCTCGTGAAACTCTGCTTAGAAGCTCCTCTTGGGACGATCGATGTGCTCTTCCTGGCCAGCCCATCTTTCTCTTGTGAGCTATGCTAATTTCGTAGAGAAACTAAAAGGCCTGGAGTGAAACTGGTTATTTGTACATTTAAGACGTCGCAGTTGGTAAGATCGCCGATATCATTCCTTCAACAAGGCCGTTGACCGGCTTGCCCAGCATACGAATGGACGTCTCGCGTAGTAAATCCGCAGACCATACCTGACAAGGATACACCTCCAAACCCCATGAGTCAAACTAGCTACGCCCCGAAAGAAGCTTAGCTCGAACTAGAAACTCGCGAGACTTCTATCCTTCTCCTCCTCCTACGGCACGATGCACAGCTTGCACTGGCCGCTGCTTGGATTTAGACACTTACACAACGCTAGTGGAAGCTCATTTTCGAGTGGTTCGGGGCGATTGATGCAGCAACAACAAATGGCCAAGAGTCAAGCCACTGCTGAAAAGCTAGCTGCATGTCCTCCCCACCATGCAGCAGATGAACCAGGCAGTCTGGGGTGGACAACAGGCTCGGAATCCCCGTTCAAAAAATGGTACAGTACTTTATTGGGGGTGTGGGGGGGGGGGGGAAGAGGTGCCAATTGGAGTGTGCCGATTGGCTTGGGCAGGGAGAACATGTCAGCAGACAGGACAATTCGCGTTATGGTGAGGTGACGCCGCCCAATACCCTATAAAAAATGCTTATGGTAAATAGTTTCCAAGAACTAGCTGAATCACATAAAGCTTGAGATCAAGGCTGCACCAACTCCATCCCCTAGAACAGGTAATGCCTGGTTACAGGATCTCCCTACCACGCTGCCCACTCCATTAGAGACGCACAACATAGGAATTGGCATGAGTGACATACCGCACCCAGCGGTATGGATTGTAAGCCTTGCCTTTATTCAGCACCTGCAGATACCGGACCTGGAGCCTGGACGCATTATACATAGGAATATTGAACGACAGGCTGATTGGGCCAGTCTCCTTCTTCATGCTCCCTGAACCCCGCTCCTGGTTCAAAGTCATCTTGGCCCGGCACGTATGCTCATTCCCACCACCAGGCATCTTCTTTATAGTCCACTCCAGTGTCTTCGAAGCATCCTTGAAATCCGTTGACTGTCCCACAGCTCCCGGGTCTAAATCACAGCTCACTTTAATCACACTCTTGGGCAGCGGCACACGGACCACAATGGAGTTGGCTGTTGCTGTGGCGGGGAACTCTGCCTTTAGCTTGATGAACAGCTCTACCTTGAAAGGGGTAATCTCCTCCAGAACCGGATACACCCGGAAAGGAGGCTTGAACTCATGTGTCATGCGGTAATTGATGACAGAAAATTCCCCATCTGGTGGCACGAGAGTCATGGTGCGGTCTACATCGAAACTATCCAACCGCACGCTTTCGTGGAAGTTGCAGTCATCCAGAACGACAATCCCAAATCCTCCGCTTCCATCCTCCCCCATTCCACCTCCCCCTCCGTATAGCAGCGACGCCGGAGCGTTCCTCTGGCCAATAACGAGGTCCTCGTTTAGAGCTATCCGAACTTCGGGATTCGCGGTTAGATAGCTCTTCATCTGTATCGTTCCGTCAATCTCACACGTCAGGATGTAGCCGTTGGGGCTGAAAGTCACGCTCAGACGTTCGATCACATCAACGAACACCTCCTCCCGCTTCTTCATGCCTGTATCAGGAGCCACCACGGATCGCATCATAGCCGCTCCTGGGACGCGACTCCGGCCGCCAGACATGAACAACGAAGCGGCGGCTCCCCCAAGCGCAGGAGGAACGATCATTCCGCTCCCAGGAGCGCCTCCCGGAAGAGGAGACGAGTCCATGATTGGTACTGATTCGTTGAAGACGAACGCTTTAAGCGCCTCCGTGGACATGCTCTGTGGGTAGCCGAAGTCCATCATTTCGTCGAGCAGCTCATAAACGAGGACGAAATTCTTCCGAAGGGACTCCTCGTTCAGAATACCGAGGTAGTCCTTAGCGACACGAGCGATCCGCTGGAGAAGCTCCAGGACGAACGACGGAGAGACGTTTCCGCGGGCCGTAGCGACGAACAAGAGGCCGGAGCATTTGATGTAGAGGTAGTTTACTCCGTCCAGGTTGAAGATCGGAGGAGCCTCTTCCGCTGCTTCATTGTCGCCTTTCCAGAACCTGAATTTCCGGAAGAAGATCTCGGCGCTCGTCTTGGGGACATCGCAGCGGTAATCGCGGAAGATTATGCAGTCGCCGCGAGGGGAAAGGATGAAGAACTGCGAGATCATGCTCGGTGCGTCACAAGCTACCGACTATCCTTAGGGAAAGGGCCCTGAACCAGACGTTTAATAACTACTATATATTCTCGTCGCGGGGAAACCGGGAAGAACTTGGTGGCTAGTTATGCCGATGAACTACTAACCACCTAATTGACCAGGCAGGTAGCTGAGTCAAGGTAGCCTAGCACCCTGCCTTCAGCACAGCACAGATCTAGTGAAGCGAGCCAACTGCAAGAGAAGCACAAAGAAAGCCCAGAACAAGAGACACATTTCTTGTGACCCTTTATAGAGATAACCAGTGCTCCATATTGATACCCAGAACCATCTTCACCTAAACACTAGCATGATTACATGGCCTTCGTAAACGTTCAATTTGTGTCAAAAGCCCTAAGCGGAGAGTCGTACAGCGAGGACTGCATCCCGCAATTGGAAATTGTGACGCTTGCGAACACCCCTCCCTGAACATTTCAGAGCTGCATGCAAGCTTGTTTCTGTCTGCTCATGCCATAGTTTCTGTTTGGCTCCTCTGGTTCTGGATTTGTGAAGTATGTTTCCCAGATTCGGCCATTGCCATGATCTCTCTAGCGACCTCGTCCTTGCTTACAAGAGTTAACTTCCTGCTGCTTTCTTGGGCCAGGAATGCTGTAACCTGCAAGGGAGAAAAGCATTCGCTTCGATTGTCGAATGGAGAGCATCAGCGAAGAGGCTTGGTCGTAATCACTCGTGCTAGTCGGAGGAGTGATGATAAGGAACGTAAGGAGGAGGATGGAATTGGAACTAGGTCGATTGGTGTGAGTCCATCAGGAGGAGACTCGGTTGCAGCGAGGAAGGAGACAGCAAGCGAAGCGAATGTGTCAGCTGATGCACCAGCGGAAATGTCAGTTACGTCAGCAGATGCGTCAGCGTCGACGGAGAAGGCTGAAAATGGAACGGCTGACGAGCCTGCTCTGGTCCTCCCAGGGTTCGTGGAGGTTACCTGCCGTAGCGAGGAAACTCCTAACGAAGCGTCGACGGATCAAGACGGGAAAGATGAACTGGAAAGGACGACGGCAACTTCAAGGCAGCGCCATGGTGGTGGGATTTGAGAACGCCTTGGATTTCGATTCTCGAAGCTCGCTGTGTTTCTTTGTAGGCGCTTCACAAGAAGCTTGCTGTCTGACACCACGTTGGAATCTTGCATCGTTTTCATTGGAGCTTCTCGTCTCTTTCTTCGCATCTTGACCATGAAGTTTCCCAAATCCGCTCCTCTTCTCACTCTTCTCAAATTTCGGGAGCCTCACGTTTTTTCAGGAGCAATGGCGTTTCTCAAATCACCCTCCACACACCCCACCCTTGTTCTGCAGGTTTCACCATCCGCGTGGTCTCCTATAACGTCCTAGCCCAGGCATGTGTGTACCAGCAATCCGCCTGTGCATCGCTCGCATGCCTTCCTCCTGCCCTGTGCCCTGCTCTCATACAGAGTATCCTTTACGCGTGTAGCATTAGCATTCCTTATGTACGTACCAGCATTCTCCATGCCCCAATGGTCTATTTCCCCAGATTGCTGCGATTGTGTTATCCCTGACTGTTCCTTACCTTCTCCCCTTCTCTGTACCCACCCTCTCCCTGACCATTCCTGCAGCTGTCTCGCGCAAGAAGTTCCCCACCTCTCCTCCCCTTTCTTTGAGGTGCACCTCTCGCCTCCTTGCATTCACCTCTCGCCGTTCGCCTTGCTTTCATCTTTCGCCGTTCGTCGTTCACCATTCACCATTCGCCTTGCATTCGCTTTGTTCCGTCCTCCACCTTCCATCAGAAAGAGCTATCGCATCCATGCCCGCCTCGCGCTCCTCAACTCCTTTGCTGCTGATTTCATCTGCGTCCAGGTGAGTCTGCTGATTTCATCTGCGTCCAGGTGAGTCTGCTGATTTCATCTGCGTCCAGGTGAGTCTGCTGAATTCATCTGCGTCCAGGTGAGTCTGCTGATTTCATCTGCGTCCAGGTGAGTCTGCTGATTTCATCTGCGTCCAGGTGAGTCTGCTGATTTCATCTGCGTCCAGGTGACTCTGCTGGTTTCATCTGCGTCCAGGTGAGTCTGCTGATTTCATCTGTGTCCAGGTGAGCGAGGCTTGATTGTGCCGTGGTAAGCTGTGTTTCTTGTTGCAGTGGTTTGTTCTTCTATGGGAAGGTGCAGTTCCTTTCCTCCCCATATATTCCCCCCTCTCTCCCCCTCCCATCCCTCTCCCCCCCCCCCCCCCCCTTCCCCTCCCACCCTCTCCCCCTCCTCTCTGCCTGATACATTTTCAGGAGATGGAGTACAAGCACATATTTCACACGCCCATGGCACTAGAGGGGTGGCGTGTGGTGTATGCCAAGCGGCCAGGGCCACATGCTGATGGGAGCGGCATCTTCTACCGATCCGAGAGGTAAATGCATGTTGGCATACCGTGTGCATGCACGCAGGCGTGGCCATGTGCCCTTGCTGAAGTTCCTTTCAGGGATCCTCTCCCATAACTCCACCCACCGTCCACCACACCCACCACTTTCAACCACACACAACCCTTTGCCCTTCTCTCTTTATCCCCTCGACATCCTTCCTCCCCCCCCCCCTTCCCATGGTGTTTCAGGTTCCGAGTTCTTCGTTCGCGAGTAGTCAATTTCAATGACCTCGTTCCTCAAGATGGAAAAATGCATGTTGCTTATAGGAAGGATGAGGAACAGCAGCAGCAGCAGGCTCGGCATCGGCTTGAGAAGCCTCACATGGAGCACGATGATTCGCGGCATCACATTCATCTGCTGGATGATCATCCCATCTGCAATGAGACGAGCAGCTCTGGTCATCACAAGCATGACACCGCTCATGAAGACTATCATCCTGACCAGCAGGGGCAGCAGCAGCAGCAGCAGGAGGAGGAGGAGGAGGAGGTGCAGCAGCATCAGCAGCAAGGGAAGGAGCATCATCACCACCACCAGCAGCACCAGCAGCATCAGGATGAGCATCAGGATGAGCAGCCTCACGACATGTCGGATCCTCGGGTTCGCTTCAAGCGCGACTGTGTTGCGGTAATGGCTGCCTTCCAAGAGGTCGAATCACCAGGCTCTTCCATCTCAGCTGAAAGCGTTGGGGGGTCTTCTGCAGAGGGCCCATCTGGTGGAGGTCGCATTGTCATTGTGGTCTCATCACATATATACTGGTATGGCACAGCACCTTTTGCCCCCTCCCCCCCTCCACCCCCCCTTCCCCCCCCCCTTCTTTTTTCTTGTTCTTTGTTTTTCTGGGAGCGCCTGCTCCTCCCTTTTTCCTTGCAGCGATGTTCGGTGAACCAAGAAATGTTTGATGTTCTCCTTCACGACATCCAAGCATGCGGTGGATCATCCCATCTCTTCATTCAACCACCCCATTTGTTCCTGCTGTGCCATTTGTGCTATCGTCCTGCAGGAATCCCAAGTGCCCAGACGTGAAGCTAGCTCAGGCCAAGTACCTGCTGCAGGAAGTTGTGCGATTCCGATCGGTTGTAGAATCCCTCCATCATCAACAATGCCACCAGATGATAGAGCTAGTCGCTGACTCCCAGCTAAGAGGAGGTGACCTCAAGGTGGATGCGTCTGGGGCAAAGGAGGACGTTGAGGGGAAGGAGGAGCAAGACCAGATCCCGGTCGTCATTTGCGGTGACTTCAACTCGAAGCCTGGAGACCCGGTAAGCCTTTGGTATTTGCTTGGTGTGGCCGTAAATCCCCCTTCGTGTGCACTCTCAGGGCTAATACCTGGAAACGCCTAACACATCATAACGCCTCCTTCAAACTTCTTTGTTTATTGCCTTGTCATGCCAAACACCCAACACTCCCATCACTCCAGGTGTACAGTTACATTGTTTCGGGCAGCACGAGAGACAAGAGTCGTTCTGGTGATCGCCTGGCAACCAATGCTGCCCCCATTCCACTTGCCAGTCTCAATGCGGTGGCTAGCAGGGAGAGATCCATGTGTTATGCTGCCCATCCTGGACATTCATCATTACACGACTTGGCTGAATGGTCAACTGATGAGGACGACGCAAAAAAGCTAGAGCCTCCCTTTACTAGCCTCACGGTGGATTTCAAGGAGACGGTAGACTACATTTTCGTGTCTAGAGATTCTAGAGGGTTTTTTGTGCGCTCCACTCTATGGATTCCTACCGATGCAGACTCTCACTTGGCTGGCGGCCTGCCCAACTTTTCTTTCCCTAGCGACCACTTCCCTATTGGAGGAGATGTTGTATTTTTTACTTGATCCATGTGTTCGTCTTCTTTATTAAACTCAGTGCCTGTGCGTAGTACTGTGACTGGAGTGTGGAGGAGGGAATCAGGAGTGATTTGTCAAGTGTTCAATGCTGCAGTGGAAGTTGAGCGAAAGATTTCAACGATTGCGAAGTCTTCGCTTCAAGGTTTGCACCTCGCTGTAGCCGCAGCCCCGCGGCAATATTTCTCCTCTGGTAGAAGTTTTGTCCCTGCCCGTCCAGCCTGGGGGCATATCCGTGAGGCAGAAAGTGGAGGGGCCCTCTGTATTGTGACCTGCCCAAGCCCCCCTTTTGAAGCACGCACTGGAGAACTCAGGGGAAGCCATCAGGGTTGTTGGATTGGAACATGGAAGGTGTGGTGGCACGCTGGTTCTGATGATCGCAACACCACACTAAAACGATCCAAACCGCTCTAGTGACAGACAGAGAGACACAGACCACATCAAAGCAGTTCCCTAGGCTTCGACCGAGACCATCAAAGCCACGCAGCTCCCTCCCAGCTCGGCAATACCTAGGTCAAGCCGAGAAACCTTCACGGTTTGATTTCAGCCAGTCTTGCTCTTCCACCGTCATAGAGGCACCTTATCTGTAGAGCTTATGGCTGATTTGGGACTCATCTCCTTACCCTGAGGCTGAGATCATCGTAGCTGTTGGCTCCTTATTCTACCTTGTCGGTCTCTATGGATGTCTGGTTCTGGTTGAGTTCGCCTACGGACGTGCATTTTCCCGGTTTAGGATGAATATTGACATAGCTCCGCTCCAACCATCCTGTTCTAAATTATTTCGCGTCCTATGCAGACCCTAGGAAGTATGCGAAAAGTACTCTTAACCATCACTTATCCAGCTCGCAAGAGAACGACTGACGGCTCCACGACGCTGTTCTTCGCAATCCGAAAGTAGTTTTTTAACAACTGCCAGTATTTCCTTCAATCCAAAACTTCTCCTTGTCTCTTAGGGTGTGAGGACGTTTGAACACGATCAGAAAGAGGTATTAAAATAGCTGACAGCACATTAGGATCCATGGATGACGAGCCGATCATTCCGATGTCGGACCCTGTGGCGCTTCTGTCCCACATCGAGGTCCCCAATCAGGTAACTTTCTTACAGGGCTGCTTTCATTCCGTGGCTTTCGACGTTCGTCCTCGGTAACTTTCTTGTAGGGCTGCTCATATTTCTCCTGTCCCGGACGAAGAAAAGCATCGGGTCGTTTCGGACGGGAATTACATTTTTCTGGTATATTTTTACCGTTAATACAGGTTCGGTCGGTTATCATGGGAGGTCCCGGGAACAGCAACGACTCGTATTACACGTACCTGGAGGCCATAGATCGGCTGCACGGTGCAGTGCGGTTCATAGAGGAGGAGCTACGGAACGGCCGGTACCTCATTGCCAAGGCCATGGAGAATGTGAAGCAAGACTTCAGCAAGCTCCTCACCAATAGCAGGTAGGTCTTTCGTCCAAATCGGTGAAAACACTTCACCAGACGATTTTCTCGTGCCTCAGCGTACGACATCTCCCTTACCGGATTTAGCGTTATTGGGTCGGACCGAATTCTGTGCATTCGATTGTGATTTCTCTTCGTTCCCGTGAGCGAATATGATGGAAGTTGCTGGCTTTTTTAAAAATGTCAGGGTTTTGTGTGTGTCGGACCAAGGATGCTGGGTAGGTGGTTCTTGGCTTTGTGTGCTGGGTTGCTGGGTCCCTGTAAGTCGATCGCCTCCCAACTGCTTAATGTAAGTAAGTTTGTAACCCGCTCTTCCCCCCATTGGCCTTTCAGTTTGTTCCCTAACCTGGACGAGTTGCGGGAGGCGATGCTATCTGAAGAATCACCTGACCATATATCACCGCCGGAGATGGTCGAGGCTGCAGCCATTCCCAAGCTGCACGCGATGGCCAGGCGGCTCATTGACAACGGATGCGCGCCAGACTGCTGCAAGATGTACCGGTGAGTAGGTCGTGGGAGGACGTATATCTTTGAGGCTTTTCAAGACATCCCGAAGCTGCATGCCATGGCTAGGATGCTGGTAAAGATTACTCATTGACAACGGATGCGCGCCAAACTGCTGCAAAATGTACCGGTGAGTCATCTAATACCGAAATGGCCGTGAGCAGAATGCTGGTGAATGAACGCTGTGAGTCGTGTACGTGTACACAAGTTCTCACCGTCTCGAGACACGGCAGTGTTTTCGCCTGCTGCCTTCCCCCTTCGTCCTCCTTCCACCACCCACCAGCGAGATGCGGGAATCTGCGTTGAAGCGCAACTTCCAGCGATTGGGCGTGCAGCAGGTGATGACGCATTCTCTTTCCTCATCCCCCCTTCCTTGCTGCTCCGCGTTCCCCGTCTCCCCACGTTTGCCACCAGCGAGATGCGAGAAGCCGCGGTGAAGCGCAACTTCCAGCGGCTGGGCGTGCAGCAGCTGACAAGGAGCACTCTCATTCCTCACCCCACTTCCCCCTTGCTGCTCCTGCCTGTCCCCTTCTCCCTTCCACCACCTCTCCAGCGAGATGCGCGAGGTGGCGTTGAAGCGCAACTTCCTGCGGCTGGGCGTGCAGCAGGTGACAAGGAGTACTCTCATTTATCCCCTTCATTCCTGCTGCACCCATCCCCCCTTCCACCACCCCTCCAGCGAGGTGTGAGAAGCCGCGCTGAAGCGCAACTTCCAGCGGCTGGGCGTGCAGCAGGTGACCAAGGTCAATCTCATTCCTATATAACCCCCCCCCCCCCCCCTCTCCCCCCCTCCCCCTCCTTGGTGCTCCCCTCTTCCCCCTTGGTCCTCCTTCCACCACCCTTCCAGCGAGATGCGAGAAGCCGCGCTGAAGCGCAACTTCCAGCGGCTGGGCGTGCAGCAGGTGACCAAGGCGGAGATCCAGAGCACGCCGTGGCCGCGGCTGGAGGAGAAAATGAGGCGCTGGAGCGAACACATGCACATCGGGGTACGTTGAATGTGGACACATGCACATCGGGGTGAGTGTTATGCCGACACATGCACATTGGGGTGAGTGATAAGCGGGCACGTGCATACTGGGGTGAGTCAAGAGCCAACACATGAACATCGGGGCTTGTATGGTGCGAGCATATGCACGTAGCGGTGGATGATATGCGGTGGATGATATGCGAGCACATGCTTCTGTTGGACTGTGTGTTGCCCACAACCTTGCCCCCCAATCCCCAAACCCCTTCCCCGGGCTCCTCTCTCGCCTCAGCTGATTCTGGTGGCAGGCGAGAGGGAAGCGTGCGACCAGGTGTTTGCTGGCCTGGAACCCCATGTCAGCACGCACCCCTCGCAGTGCTTTGTGGACCTGTCGCGCTCCTCCATCATCCTGCCCATATGCTCTTTCACTCGACTCAGTCAGCCCCCCCCCCCCCCACCCCCACCCCCAACCTCCCTCCCCCTCCCCCCCGGCCCCAATCCCCCTTTCAGATGATTCTGGTGGCGGGCGAGAGGGAAGCATGCGATCAAGTCTTTGCTGGTTTGGAGCCCCATGGCGAGCAATGCTTTGTGGACCTGTCGCGCTCCTCCATCATCCTGCTGACGCACTTTGGCGACGCCATCTCAGTCATCAAGAAGTCCCCCGAGCGCCTCTTCTCCTTCCTCGACATGTACGAGACCACGCTCGACCTCAAGTCCACGGTACGTGGCCAGTCAATGGTAGTCAACGGTGCATGTTCAAGTCAACGCTAGTCAAAGGTGCATGTTAAAGGCAAGGAGTCCCCCGAGCGCCTCTTGTCAAAGGTGCACGTTTTAGGTCTATCGTGTTAGGTGGTAGAGGTAGACAGAGCACATTTGACGTTTGGTAGACGCCTTGGGGTGCAGAGCGGTTGGGGGGGGCAGATTGGTTGGAAGTTGGATTTGGGCGAAAATTTGGGGTCTCGACATTTCGCGATAGTGTGGCTGGCTTCGCCACATCACGAAGTAGCGATCTGAAACTTCACGTTTTTTTTAACGGGCTGCCCACGAAATTTCAGCCGAGCGTGTAGCGTTTATATGCTCGTATAGCGTATAGCATATATATGGTGCGTATATACGCTATACGCTGCAGATTCTGAGCGTTTAGTGCAACTTAGGGTACGTGCTGTATTGACTCAAGTCAACGCTAATCAACGCTGCATGCTCAAGTCAATGCTAGTGTATGGTGCATGCTCAATTCAAGAAACAACCCCAATTCTCCTTCCTCGCATGCATGAGACCACACTCGACCTTAAGTTCACGGTACGTGCTGTGCTGACTCAAGTCAACGCCAGCCAATGCTAGTCAACGGTAGTCGATGGTGCATCCAGAGTGTGGAAGGGCGGTGGGATGGGAGAGAGTGTTGCACACCAATGAAAAGAATCCTGGGCCTATTTTGCGTGGATGGACTTGCTCTTGTTTTTTGTTTCCAAATCCAGAATGTGTTGTTTGCGTTCTCCCAAAGAGCACCTAGGTAATCTATACTGTATGCATAGCAATTACTCCATGTGGTGCGTTTGTCTTAGCAACCCCCATTTCCTCCCCCCACTGTGACTATAGGTGGATGAGCTGTATCGAGCGGACGAGGGCCGGGCAGTGCGAGAAAATTACCAGGAGCTGCTGACAATCCTCGGTCGGGCAGCCCGAGACACGTTTGAAAAGTTTGAGGATGCAGTGAAGGCGCAGCCGACTGCGGAAGATATGGGCGGCATGGGCGGGATGGGCGGGATGGGCGGCATGGGTAGCATGGGAGGCATGGGGCAGCCTGGCAACGTCCCCCGCGCGGAAATGCTTCGAAACGGCGGGTTCCTCAACAAGCTTAAGAAGTACGTGCGTGCTCTTTCCTGTTTCTTCGCTTTCCTCAACGGGGGGTTCCTTAACAAGCTGAAGAAGCGCGTGCGTGATCTTGGTGGCTTTTGAGTCGGCTCAAAAGTCACCTCGTACGTAATCCTTCCTGTTTTTCCCCTTTCTCTCCCGTTCTGGAAAGTGTTGAGGAGCGTGGCTGTTCCCTGAGAATCCTCGAGAAAAAGGAGAATTCCACTTCTCCCTCACCCCCTCCTTCGCCTCACCCCTCAACCCCATCTCCCCTTTCCTCCGCTTCTCACCCCTAACGATGATGCTGAAGGCGGACGACATGATGAGCGTGGCAGCATAATGCTTCTCTCACCCCCTTCTCCCCCCCCCCCTCCTCCTTCCCCTCTCCCCATCCTTCCGCTCATCCCTTTCTTCGGCCCCTCAGAATGAAGCTGAAGGCGGACGACACGATAAGCGAGGTGGGCCGCGGGAGGGCAGCAGGACGTGGCAGCATCCACCGCTACGCCAGATAGGGACGCATCTGAGGCCCGTATCACGCTACTTAACCGTTGCAACCCTTCCACTCTCGCCCCCTTCCCCCCTACTCGCACCTCAGGATGATGCTGAAGGCGGATGACAACATGAGCGAGGTGGGCGGGCAGCAGGACGTGGCAGCATCCAACGCCAGTGGGGACGTGCACCCCATCACGAGCTATGTGGTCAACTACCTGCTGCTGCTCTGCAACAGGTGGGGAATGCGAGGATAGGTGGGGGGGTTGCGCACTACATGTTTGAATCACTTCGAGCGACGTGCACCCCATCACGAGCTACATCGTCAACTACCTACCTGCTGCTCTGCAACAGGTGTGGAGTGTTGCTCTGTACCTGGTGTCAATTGTTGCTTTGTAACTGGACTGGTGGGGATGGGAGGAGGTGACTTTTGAGTTGACTCAGAAGTCACCTTGTAACTGGTGTCGAGTGTTGCTCTGTAACTCGTGGGGATGGGAGGAGGAAGGTGGGCTGGGACATTCTGTGTCGAGGATCCGTGGAACAATTGAACGTGCACCCCCTCACCAGCTACGTCATCAATTATCTGCTGCTGCTCTGCTACATGTGCGAGCGGTTGGTGCTCTGCTACAGATGGGGTGGATCATGGGAGGGGGATGGGGTGGTGGGTGGGGAAGGGGGGAGGAGGGCGGTTGTAATCCATGCACCTCAGGTGTGTATGAAGACATGGCCAAAACGGGAGCAGGCGCTGCTGATCTCCACTCATCTACTCACCTCCATATCCCTCCATTCCCCCCCACCCATAAACCCCTCCATCCCCCAGCGACCTCCCGTATTTCTCCATCCTGGAGTGCGTCTTTGAGGACATGGCAAACACCGGCAACGAGTCAGGGGCGTCCATCATCACGCCCAGGGTGCTGCAGGGCCGCCTGATTCTCTCACTTACTCATCTTTGCCCCAGGGAGCTGCAGGGCCGGTGATCCCATGCCAACCAATCTCCTCCCCTCCGTACCTACCTTCTCCTTCCCCCCACCCCCCAAACCCCCCCAACCTACCTGCACCCCTCCCTCTGTACATCCCCATCAACCCCTTACACTCCCAGCGACCTGCCCTACTTCTCCATCCTGGAGTGCGTCTTTGAGGACATGGCCAACACGGGCAACGAGTCAGGAGCCTCCATCATCACGCCCAGGGTGCAGGGCCGCCTGGCGTTTGCCGCTGCGCGCATCCTTGAGGCGCTCAAAGTGAACCTGCAGCACCGTGCGCTCATGCTCAGAGATGACGCCTTGGGAGAGCTGTTCCTCATGAACAACCTCGCCTATGTGCTCACCAAGATCGATGCGTGAGTACCAGTCTTGATGCGTGAGTCATGATGTGCCGTTATTCGCCCTAGTGTTGGCCGCTGCGTGCATTCTGGAGGCGCTCAAAGTGAACCTGCAGCACCGCGCGCGCGCTCATGCTCAGAGACGATGCTCTGAGGGAATTTTTGAGTCGACTCAAAAGACGATGCTCTGAGGGAATTTTTGAGTCGACTCAAAAGACGATGCTCTGAGGGAATTTTTGAGTCGACTCAAAAGACGATGCTCTGAGGGAATTTTTGAGTCGACTCAAAAGACGATGCTCTGAGGGAATTTTTGAGTCGACTCAAAAGACGATGCTCTGAGGGAATTTTTGAGTCGACTCAAAAGACGATGCTCTGAGGGAATTTTTGAGTCGACTCAAAAGACGATGCTCTGAGGGAATTGTTCCTCATGAACAATCTCGCCTATGTGCTCACCAAGATTGATGCGTACGTGCTCACATATCTCCATGCATCCTTTCACCAGTTTATCGTATTATAATGAGCAACCACTATCCGTACAGCACTCTTAGGTCAATGCACAGATCATAGTGAATGTCTCGAGGTGTTGGTGCATGCTCGATTTCCATACATCCTCTCCTTCTCTATCATCCCTACAGTGCTGATTTTGAGGCGCCTCAAAACATACATCCCCTCCTTCTCTATCATCCCTACAGTGCTGACGCGGGTCGGCTGCTGGGAACAGCGTGGATTGGCAACTATGGGGCCATAGTGGACAGCCATCGGGACCGCTTCATCAACTCCTCCCTCGCTAAGGTGTGCTCCCTGGCTAAGCTATCCCTCATCTGGGCTGATCAGCCACGTCCTGTTCCCAACTTATGATCCTGAAGTGCCAAACCGTCTTCCTCGCACCCCCCCTGTCCACCGTCATCACTTCTTCCTTCTCTCCAACCCCCCCATCCCCGCCCCCTCTTCTCTCCAACCCGCACCTACCCCTGTTCTTCCCATCCCTACCTCTCTCGGCACACAGTTTGACCCTGTGTGGTCTGACGATCGCCTTGACACAGCCTCACTCGTGAAAAGGTGGGTCTGCCTCGTGATGCGTTACTATGTTGCTGCATGACTATGAGAGTATACATGGGAAATTACAACATTTGATTTTCAACAAAACATTTGTGCTGGACCCTCACTGTTCACCCTCTCCCATTCCGTTAACCATCTGCTGTAACTGTGCTGCATGGCAATCTCTTTTTTATGCTCAATTTACAAAGACTCTCTTCCTCCCCCCTTTTCAATTGGCCGCTTTCTCATCCCCTTTATAGGCTGAAGCTCTTCAACTACACAGTGGAGCAGATGAAGCAACGCTACATGGCGTGGACCATCCCTAACCGGGAATTGCGGGCGCATGTAAAGAAGATGACTCTTAAGAGGCTGCTGGACAAATACAGAGATTTCATTGTTCGGCACAGGTGGGTGGGACCTCATTGTTCGGCACGTCCCTCCTCGCCTTGCCTGCGTCGGTAGCTCCCCTGTGCACCTCCTGCGTCGAGGGACAGCAGTGCGCCGCTCCTCACTCCTTGTTTCATCCTACCAAAGCACCGCTACAGACACTGCACATGGACGTTTGGGGCCCTGGTCCATGGTCTTAGCCCGTTGTTCGACACAGGTGGGTGGGACCTCATTGTTCGGCACAGGTGAGTGGGACCTCATTGTTCGACACAGGTGAGTGGAACTTCATTGTTCGGCACAGGTGGGTGGGACCTCATTGTTCGGCACAGGTGGGTGGGACCTCATTGTTCGGCACAGGTGGGTGGAACTTCATTGTTCGGCACAGGTGAGTGGAGCTTCATTGTTCGGCACAGGTGGGCGTTCAAGTTCCGAGCCGCCTCACAACATCAGTATCATTGATCTAAGGGCGCACTGGTACAGTATCAAGAAGATCTCACTTAAGTGGCTGCTGGAAAAATACAGAGATCTCATTGTTCGACAGAGGTGGGTCGTTTATGTGTTCGTTCACTTCTGTAGTGACGGGTAAACCCCCCCCCCCCCCTTGCGCCACGCTTCTTCACATCTCTCCACCTATGCTTCCATACCCACTATTACTGGCCCCATCATGCCAAACATATCATGGAACCTGTTTCCTGCACGTTTGTGTGTCTCTCTTTTCTCCCCATCGCTGCATATTTTTCTTTCCTGGGTACGTGCCTGTGTTGATATGCATGTACATCAGAACAAATGGCATCGCCCTTCTCCTTCCCCCCACTCCAGGAACGTGACTCAGAGCCATCGGACCCTGGATGTGCAAGTGTTCACATGCGCAACCCTATCCAACCCACTCCATGCCCCACCTTTCCTCCCTTCGCTTCCTTAACCCGGTATCACTCCAGGAATGTGATTCAGAGCCATCGGACCCTGGACGTGCGAGTGTTCACATGTGAAGAGATCGAGCAAATGCTGCTGCCTTGCTTCGACACCGGTCCTTCCAGAGTGAAATAAACAAGAACTCTGCAATGCAACAGCCTACATAAAAGTTTTAACTAGGGAAGTCTTGGTGGTAGTTTGTGACGAAGCTGTAGTTGGTTGCACTGCACAGTAATAAGCTCATGTTGATTGGCTGATTCTAGGAAGACGAAGTCACGAAAGCCTGTGGATTTTGATTCTGCTCAGACTGCCTGCTCCGGTTAGGAGGGACTTTTTTGTAGACGTAGGTTCTGCCATTCAGTCTTGGTTGTCCTAGTAACCACCTGACACATGTGAATTCACAAGTCAACATAGTCTCCTACCATACTAGAGATACAGAAACTTCATCGATAATGCTTCCACACATAACGAGATATGCAGCACGTATATAGCGATTCCATTCCCCAGAGTCTACATTGTGTCATCCCTCCATGTTTTCCTGTGCATGCCCCTCTGCCGGCTCTTGCCTGCCCAAGCGCCCATCTGCCCACTTGCCTGCCCATTCCCCCCTCTGCCTGGTGCACGGGTCGCAAGAGGCGACCTATGCACGCAGCCAGCAGGACAGGTGGGGGCGATCCATAGGCCACAGCGAAGCACATCGAAACACACACACCTGTAGCACTCAATTCTGTCTTCTACTCAAATCGAGGACTTGGAGAGTGATGGCGAACGAGATTGACGGGTGCTGAAGGTATGTCTGAGCCTGTGCTGCTGCTACTGATGCCACGTCATGCTGCTGCCATTATCATGCTGCTACAGGAGTTACATTGACGCTGTTGAAACACCACAACCCTGCTGCTATGCAAGCCCAGTACCCTGCTGCCAAAGGGACTCCATACCCTGCAGTTACTAAGTCTGGCTACACTGCTTCACCCAGCTTCACACCGCCTCCTGCTCCTTCACTTTTTGCCGCCTCATACTCCATATCAAACACCACATCAATCCCTGATTTTGCAGGGTGTTTTTGAGAATTCTCAAAAACACCCTGCATATCAAACACCACATCAATCCCCCCTACACCTCCAACCACTTCCAGTCCCCCCCTTCCCCTTCTCACATCCCCCCCCCCCCCCCCCCCCCCCCCCGACTCACGAGTGCAGGCCCTTTATTCAAGGCGCCCTTCAGCTTTCTTTCGGGCCCCTCCGGCTGACCTTGCACCCGTCTGGGCCGACTCAACAACCACAGACTCCCCTCAGCCATTTCAACAACCACCTACACAACTCCCTTTCCCCTGCCATCTCGAATCCGAAACCGGGCTGTCCCTCAGAAGCACCCTCAGACTGCCAACCAAACAACGGCCCCCAGCCACCACCATCCATCAACCCAGGTGTCAAAGCAGCCACACCATCTGCTGCAGCCCTCCCCACACCTCCCTGAGCCGCTCCAACAGCTCTGAATCCTGGCTTTCTCCCAGAAGAAAAGAGACAAGTTTAGCCCCGCACCTCCCCAAACTAATGTCTTTTCCTCTCCTCACGCCTCCCTTCACCTTCCTCCTCTGCTGCAGTTCTCCTCATGTCTCCCTTAACCGTTCCAGCAGCTCTGAATCCTGGCTGTCTCCCAGAAGCAAAGACAGTGGCCCTGAACCACCACCATCCATCAACCCAGACGTCGAAGCTGCCAGCCCATCTGCTACCGCCCCTACCGAGCCTCCGCCGCCAAAGCTACTAGCCAGGACAGGGTCTCGGAACCCTCCCGAGCCTGCCGAGTCCATTGCAGAGTAATCCAGCAGCCCCTGGTGGGGCATTAGCTCCTGCCCCCCTTTTACCCCCAGATCTTCAGGGAAAGAAGTGAGTCCGCCCAGAGATGCGCCTCCCCCAGACATCCCCCCAGCCGCCCCTTCCATACCACCTACCCCAGCAAAACCTCCCCCGAGACTCCCCCCCACGCCCTTCCCACCCCCCCCACCCATCTCCGACTGCATACTAGACGCCTCGTTATAGCTATAATTCTGCAGCAGCTGCTCGTTCTCATCCGTTAATAACGAGTACAGCCCGTCCCAATCCTCCCCCTCACTATCCTCCCCATCCTCCACTGCCGCTTTAAGAGCCACTTTCCTCCTCATCTCCTCAAAGACTGACCTCTCGATACAAGCCTGCTTGTCCCCCACGAGCCACAGGGACCGCTGGGGGAAGAAGATTTCCCGGGCGGCGCGGAAGCGGGAGAGTGAGGGGCAGTCGGACAGGACAAGAAGCTCCACTGGGTCTCCGCGGCGCAGGCGCACGCTCTTGTAGGGCGGAAGGACGTCCATCTGGATTGCAGGGAGAGGGAGAGAAGAGCATGGGTGAGGAGTGTCGTTAGCCATGATCGAGACGAGCAGCAGTGTAACGGAAGGGTGAGGAAGACGCACGCTCTTGTAGGGCGGAAGCACGCACCGTTGACGATCAAGAGTGTGGAAAGTGAGCACGGTTGACTATCAAGAGTGTGGAAAAAAAGGGCTTGGGTTCACAGTGCTTGCCACACAGTGCTCTCCACACAGGGCTTGCCACACAGTGCTCTCCACACAGGGCTTGCCACACAGTGCTCTCCACACAGGGCTTGCCACACAGTGCTCTCCACACAGGGCTTGCCACACAGTGCTCTCCACACAGGGCTTGCTACACAGTGCTCTCCGCACAGGGCTTGCTACACAGTGCTCTCCGCACAGGGCTTGCCACACAGTGCTCTCCACACAGGGCTTGCCACACAGTGCTCTCCACACAGGGCTTGCCACACAGTGCTCTCCACACAGGGCTTGCCACACAGTGCTTGCCAGTGAGATGCCATCATAGTGCCAGTGAGACGCCTCGGCTATTCAGCAGCTGCAGCTCACCTCCAGGGTCGTGTGGCTGTGGTCACCAATCAGAACGCGCCACCTGGTCTGCCGCCCCACTCGCACCACCTGTAAGTCCAGCAGACGCGCCTTCCAGAGACCTGAAGCCCGGGGAAAGAAGGAAGAGGGGGGGAGAGCGAACAACAACAACAGGGGTTGAAGTGCTTCATACAGGAAAGGGGTTTCCAACAGGGGTTTCCTTTCCACCAGCCTCCCTGCTCTCAACCTCTTCCCACCGTCTCTTTATCTCAGCTCACCAGCGTGTCTGTACTTCACTCTCACCGCTAGGATGCCTACACTGCACCCCAAGAAAAGCCCTGTGCCTAGAACCACTAGTCCCACTTTCCCCACTCACCAGCGTGTCTGTACTTGACTCTCATTGCCAGGTTCTTGGCCACAGCGCACCAAATGGGCCACCACGCCCAGTAGAACGCGGCGGTCACAGTGGCCACCACGCTCACGCTGTACAGCGCCACCGCCAGCCCCATGGACACCACGAGCCGCCGCACCCACGCCGCCGGCCCGCCCAGCATCTGCAGCACCTGCGGCCCGGATCCCGCCAGGGGCACGAGGAGTGCCAGCGCGCCGTTCGCCAGCGCGTGCACGGCTGGCAGGCGGCGCGGCCGGCCGGCAGGGGGGTCGGCGGAGCGGCGTTCTTGCGGAAGAATGGGAGAGAGGGCGGGCGGAGCGTTGCGCTCGGTCGGGGGAGCGAATTGGGGGGCTTTGCGGGCGGGGGAAGGGGCAAGGGTGGGCATGCGGAAGGCGGGCCGCGCGGGGAGGGATGGCGGGGCGACGAGGTCGGGGCTGCGGAGGTGCGCTGGGGAAGCGGAGGGCGCGGAAGCGGCGGAGCGAGTTGCGGAAGCGGAAGGGGAGAAGGCTGGGAGTTTGCGGGCGGGAGGTTTAGCGGTTGAAAGAATTGGGTCGGTGGAGAGAAGGGAATCAGCGACAACGGGCTTGGAGTCTCTAACTGACTTCTTAGTACCAGTAACAGACGATGCGGCGATTTGTTTGGCGGACGACGCGGCAGGCGGCGCAGACGCGGTCTTCAGAAACGGCGCGAACGCGGGCGCGGCGACGCGGCGCTTCAGGCGCGCGGAAGACGCGGAGGACGCGCTAAACCCCCCCGGATGCGCGGAGAACGACGCGTTAAACCCTTCCCGCACATGGAACAGCGGCAGGGTCACTGCCCCAGGGTTTAGCAGTACCCGCGCCGAGCCCTTGGCACGGAGCATTTCCGGCACCTGTGCGCGTGCTGACGTGGCCAGTGCTGACGTGGCTCGCGCTGACGTGACACAGGCCGACGAGGGCAGATGCTCGGGGATTCCCGGGGGCTTCCGTAAGTGCGCAGCCGAGTCGGAGTATCTTGGGAAGACAGAAAACGTTGGAAGAGCCGAAGCAGTCGGCAAGCCGCTTAGCAAACCGGCTAGCGTGCCGGTTAGCGAGCCGGTGAGCAGGCCGCTATGTGCACCGGTAGATAAGACGGACGCGCTCGGAGCACCACGCGGCAAGCCCTCCTCGGCAAAATCGGGGAACCGCTGTCGCGCCGACACTGCGCCGCCGCCGCCGCCGATGCCGCTGCCGTCAACTCCATCATCACCTCGGCGACCGGCGTCCGACCGATATAGTTGGCGATCCGTCAACAGGGCTGTGGGGCCCATCGTGCCGCTCTCCGCCATCGCCTCCGCGAGCTCCGCGCCGGCCGCCGGCATCTCCGCTGGCGTCTCTGCCGGCACCTCTGCCGTCCCGAGTCCCGAACCCCCACCGTCGCTTTGGCGAGGCGAAGCGGATGATAATTCCACTGCGAGGATTCCGCTACTTCCGCTGGTTCTGCGCTCCAAGGTTGCGGTGACTCCGCGAGCAAGGGAAGGGGAATCTCCGCGGGCGAACGTAGGACGATTCCCGCCATCCCAATCCGCGACTCCGCGGGCGAAGGTAGACGATTCTCCGCGGGCGAAGGTAGACGATTCTCCGCGGGCGAAGGTAGACGATTCTCCGCGGGCGAAGGTAGACGATTCTCCGCGGGCGAAGGTAGACGATTCTCCGCGGGCGAAGGTAGACGATTCTCCGCGGGCGAAGGTAGGAGAATCTCCGTCATCCCAATCCGCGTCCCCGTCTCTGCTCTCCGCTTCCCGGATGGCCTCGAATTCCCCGAATCGGCCGCCCGATGTTGACGCCGACGCGGAGCGGAAAAATGAACTCCTCCCTCTCCCCAGAGTCAACGGAGTCAACGCCTCGTTCGCGAAGACTAGTCTGTCCCCCGAGAATTCAGAGCAGATACTGGGAGAAAGCGACGTGAGTGACGGACTCGGCGTGAGTGACGGACGGGCGGCTGAATCCGTCGACCACCGCCGACCGCTCGCCTTAAAGCTCGAGCCTGAATGGAAACTATAAGACCGGCTGAAAACCGGTTCGCGAGCCTTTTCGCGGCTGGAAAAGCCGAATGGAGTCCGCGGTGAGACTAGGGCGGAAGGGGAGGACGGAACGGAAGCGGGAGTGCTGAGAGCGGGGGAGTGATGGGGGCATGAGTGAGTGGCGTGAGGGTAAGAGCACGCGCAGAGGTTGCCTGGAGACGCCATGGTTACGGTTCGGGAGCGATTGCGATGCGGGAAATCCGAGCCACGGCTACAGGTTCGGCTAAGGCGGGTAGGAGCGGGTAGATCTGCAGCGTGGCCTGCTGTTCGCGTGGTCGAATCGAGTTTGAGCAGACCCTTGAGCTTCATGGGCTGGCCGATAACGGAAATAATTGAGGTGTGCGCCTGAACTATCGCCTCGTCTTTATCAGTGCCTGCCGTGTCTGATCGGGACTTTGAAAAAGAACCAGGTTTTGAAACTTGTGATTGCACGCTAGGAAGTAAGGGCTAGTAGAAACACGATGGCTGAAGCCGGACCTAAAAAGAAAGTAATGTGAGAACTAGAGGAACAGCCTAGCCTTGTAGCTGGTGGGACCAAGCTCCAGGAATAGGCTGTAGAGGAGGAAGTAGTTTCTTTGAGCATAGTAAGTCTCCGTCACACACGCCGTGGGATGCACGCAGGAATAGAGGCTGGTGATGATCGCATACGCGCTATCGAGCTCCTCATACGACGGTTCAGGCCTGGTGTGCGACTACAAGTGCGACGAAAGTAGATTTCATGTAACTGGTTGGGGCTGTGATTGGAGAATCGTGTCGCCCCAGTGGGTCGTGCGACCAATCCTCTGGAGGTTGCCGTGTCGTTCCCGTCACGGATGGCTTCTGAAGCAAGGTGAACCACACATCACGCAGTGTAGCCTAAAGTTCAGTTGTAACTGCTCTGTACACTGTACAGTACACCGTTTTCAAATGTTTTTGCGGCTGGGCTGGGCAGTGGGCACGGACCAGACTCTTTTAGGAGCAATCCTGGGTGGCCACGTCAATGAATTCCACTTTATGCGCGGCGCCGAGGCTCTGCGCTGTGGCGCGCTGCTCTATCTGGGGTTTTTAGATTACCGGTAACCCTTACTAGCGTTTTACTCTTTGGGATCACGTTTAGCCCCTATTACGGAAGGGTTTCTCGCCGATCAAACCCCCCAGGGACAGTTTTTTGTTCTTCGAGGTTAGTTCTCTCCACAGCGAACCACGTGTAACAATCTCCTTCATCTTGGGCAGAGGGCAGAAACAATAAAACCCTTATGGGCCTGGCATGGCATTCTGGATGGCATCAACCCTAAACTCGCAAAAGGGCCACGAATTTAGGGTTGATGCCCACCAGAATGGCATACTCGCCCCTATGGGTTTTAGTTTTTTTCTTGCCAGCTAGCCTGCCCGAATGTTGTCAGCCATTTTCAGTAGCACTACAGATCCCACAATATCGCAGGAAAACAGAGTTCAGTAGCCCCAAAGTGACGGAGCAAGGAGATTGTGACGCGTGGTCTTCTGTGGTGCGAACTAACCTCAAAGAACAAAAAACTGGCCCGGGAGGGTTGGAACAATGAGAAACCCTTCCGTGAAAGGGCTAAATGTTACTCAAAAGAGTAAAACTCCAGTAAGGGTTACCGCTAACCTAAAAACCCCTCTATCTGCAGCTGACAAGGAGTCTGGGCTTTAGCGGGGAACTTTTCCGGAAATGTGGCGGGAGATTTTGCTGCCCTATGCCAGGCTCTGGGCAGAGTGAGATGGCAGAGACGTGCCTCCCATTTTGCAGGCAATCAAGCCTGTCTAGCGGATGGTACAGTTTTCAATCACCGTTTCATATACGGGAGGAGCCATTGGTGTAGCCAGTCTAAAAGCGGAAAGCGAAGTATAGCATAGCGGGTTCTCACCAAACCAACCACATCAGTCCATCATCAGTCCCTATCACCATTTTACCTCGACCTGCTCTAGAGTCAAGAAACTGGGTTCTGCCAGGTCCTAGCAGTAAAGCCATGCCACCTCCTAACCACACCGTCAATGCGGGCCTGCTGATCTAGGTTTCTACCCTAAAAAAAGCGTGAGAATCTGCGATAGACTTCTTGTTCAAATCAGTACCTGTTTAACTTATACCTCTGGTATTCTTTTTCTTCTGGACGACTGAGCTCTCCCCTCGAAGGGAGCGTAGCGGCTCCCGTGGCTGGTCTGAAGCGGTCAGCGGACGGCGCAATAGACAGCAACATGAGCCTCTTCGGCGTGGGCCGGTATGCGTCTGTCCCCTACGGTTCTTCTACTAGCGGCGAGCCTCTCTTGTCTTTGTCTTAGCTTCCTGATGTTTTTTATTCATTCTATTTTCTCGGAAACCTGATTTCCACCTCATTTACAAAAGTTTTTTCACCTTTCTCAGTTGTTGTATCGAAGCCATTGATGAGCTCAACAGCTATTGCTGTTCTCGGCTTTGAGACGTCTGTTTCTGGCCTTTATTCGTCGATGCAGGAATCAGCGGACGTTCCGGCCAAAGAAAAGCGCGCCGTCAGGAAGCAAGGTGAGAGTTGCCAAAGTTGCACATTTGTGGGAGCTGTTTGTACTTTCCTTCATTTATTTTTCTTTTTTAAGGGAGGCTTCATTGTGCCGCATTGCGAGCCATTTCGTCCCATTCCACTGCATTTCAAAGGCTCGCAAAACGTGTGGAAACTCCAGACGGAGCATTGCAAGCACACCGATGCCACTCTCTGGTTTACCACGGACCATTCTCTGCCGCCAACGTTTTTTTTTTCTATTCTAGAAAACGACGACGGTGAAATAGAAAACAAAACGTTGACGCCGTCGTTTGTATTGTACCCTGCTTACCCTGCATGGCCAGCAGCTCGGCAAGCACATCGATGCCACGCTCGGATTGAACGGTGTCGCAACGCTCTTGTTTCCGATCATATGTGCTCTATCCTGCCATGCCAATCATTGCATTTTCATTCCTGCAGGGTCAGCAGCTCCGCAAGCACATCGATGCCACGCTCGGCAGCGGTAACCTCCGGGAGGCCGTCAGGCTTCCGCCAGGGGAAGACCTCAACGAGTGGCTCGCCGTCAACAGTGAGTTCCATTATCGGCTAGCCGTGATCCATAAGTTGCATTGTCGACTCGCCGTCAGCAATAAGTTGCGTGAACGGTTGCCGTTAACGGAAGCCCGATTGGCGCTCAACGCGCCACCGCACAGATCCCAAACAGATGCTTCCGCGCTCCTTCCATTCCAGCCTTCGTTAGAGTCCACCTCTTTTTCCTGTCCCCATTCGTTTTTCTTCTCCTTTCCCCCATCCATTCCCTCACTTTCCCTTGCCATCTCAGCCGTTGATTTCTACAACCAGGTCAATCTGCTGTACGGCACGCTCACAGAGTTCTGCACGCCGGAGCACTGCCCCACCATGTCCGCCGGCCCCAAGTAAGACGCTAGGATTAAGCTACTGAGGTGCATAGAAGCACACGCCGGAGCACTGCCTCACCGTGCCCGCCGGCCCCAAGTAAGTAAGCAGCAATCAAGAATTCTTCATGTTTCACACGTCTCAAGAGCAGTCTCACTGAGTTTTGCGCGCCTGAACACTGCCCCACCATGTCCTCCAGCCCCGAGTAAGAGACGCTAGAGTATCCCATGTTCGTGAGACGTATAGGAAACAGTCTCACTGGGATTTGTGTGCCGGAACACTGCCCACCGTGCCCGTCGTTCCCATGTTTTCTCAGGGAAGAAGCCACAGGAACCCCCGGAGCCATGTTTTCTTCTTGGGAGGATGAACTGTGCTATGTCATTAGTTGCGCTATTTTCTCCTGCCTCTCCCTCCCCACCGTCTCCCCCAGGTACGAGTACCGGTGGGCGGACGGCGTGCACGTGAAGAAGCCGCTGGAGGTGTCGGCGCCCAAGTACGTGGAGTTCCTCATGGACTGGATCGAGACGCAGCTGGACGACAGCACCATCTTTCCACAGAAGCTAGGTCAGTGGTCTGCTTGTTTGGATGGTTGGAGAGCACCATAACTAGTTCAACCTCCTGTTGACCGTCACTCTCTCCCTTGTAATTTCTCCATGAGTCATGGATCTTTCATGTCCCGTCCCGTCCCAACCCCCCTTTCTGCACCGTCCTTTTTCCTCACCCTGTTCTCCCCACAGGTGTGCCCTTCCCACCGCACTTAGGGAAGGTGGTGGCTCACACCATCTTCAAGCGCATTTTCCACCGCACTCAAGCGCATCCAGAGTCCTCGCCTCCCACAGTACTCCCCTGTTCTCCTCCCCTGTTCTCAACTTCCCATCACAGGGGTGCCCTTCCCGCCTCATTTTGAGAAGGTGGTTCGCACCATCTTCAAGCGGCTGTTCCGTGTGTACGCGCACATCTACCACTCGCACTTCCAGCGCATTGTGAGCCTCAAGGAGGAGGCGCACCTCAACACCTGCTTCAAGCACTTCATCCTCTTCACGCACGTGAGTTTGTAATCCCCTTCGCCCACATGAGTCCGTGTTTTTTTTGTTTCTCCTTGAGGCGCCTAGAAACGCATTGTGAGCGTCAAGCAGGAAGCTCTCACCGCAATGCCTGCTTGAAGGACTTGAATCTCCGCACCCATGTGAGTTGCCCTTGCTTGTTATTTGAGGCTCCTTGAAACAATCGTACGCCTCAAAGAGGAAAGAGGTCTCAGCACCGGCTTGTAGCGCTTCATCCCTTTCCCCCATGTGAGCCCCTCATGGTTATCTTTTGTGGCGCCTTGATACAAATTGTCAGCCTGAAGGGAGAAGCCCAGCTGCTTCAACACCTGTTTCAAGCACTTCATTCTCTTCCGCCATGTGACTGTCACATCCGCTTCCCTTCACATGCCTCACATTTGCTGATCCTAAGATTCACGTTTGCCGAACCCTCATTTGCCATCATCCCCTACTTACGTTGAATCAAGAGCATATCAAGCTGGTGAGTGAGCTACGGGACGGCTTATCGATTCAAACCTTCTATGTCAGTTGTTCCCTCCCTTTTCTTGATGTTTTTGCGAATCATCCTTCATCCGCCTGGCACCAATTCAGGAGTTCAACCTGATTGACAACAAGGAGCTGGCACCATTGGAAGAGCTTATAGACTCAATCACATAAACTGCTTAACCCTACAGTGGAACATGGATGTGCTTTGGTAGTTTTATTTGTCCAAGGGCTGGATGGGAATTTTTGTCTACATCTGTAGATACCGGTAGGATTCAAGTTTACAGTGTAGTGTTGTGTACTTCTCGAATGCTTCTGTTACACTGCATCACCATTTGTGAATCGTAGCACATCTACAGTTGTGCTCATCCCACCGCCCCCAATTCGCACAGGGGAGGTTATCCCTCGCAGCGCGATTGGCAAATGCGAGTGTAGTTGCTGCCGCAATCACGTGGGCTCGCAGTCCCCCCGCCAATCCTGCCATCCATCCAGAGCATGTAAGAACTCCGGTTGAGTACATGGCTCCGCGGTGCAGAGCGATCTCTCGTGAGCCATTACCTGCACCACACGCCACCTGTTAGGGCCTCGTACTTGTGCAAAACAGGCCCGAGTTGCGCAACCCGAGTTGCGCAATTCTTCCCAAAACAGACTGGTAGGGCTATTAAACAGGGCGGTAGAGAAAGATAACGGTCACGAGTGTTAGAATAACGCAATGAGCATGCACCTATCTAGCCTATAAGATATATAACTATATGTTGACACGCCCCCTAGGCTAGACAAGCGGCGGTGCCTGGCAAGAGACACGCAGCTCAGGGTGGCACTACTAGTCCAACCACTGAGGCAAGGGTCTCAAGACTAGTCAGAAGAGTACAAACAAGACAAGAGCAAACCAGGCCGGCACTACTAGTCCGGCCACTAGAGCAAAAGCCACAAGGCCAATCAGGAGCTGCTGGAACTAGACCAAGTTGTACACAGTGCCGCTGATAATCTTTAGGCGCAAGCGCCTTAGTACAGATATCCACTGTGTTGGCACCGGAGGCCAAGTGAACTACGCGGGCCTGGCTGTCAACTTATACATATTATCTATGTAGAAGTTATAGGCTAGACTGAGGTATGCTTCTAGTGAGTACAACCAACTAGTATTTGTTCTAGGTTTCCACTTCTAGCCATTATTCGTTCTCACTTTAACATGGTATCACGCATAGGTTAGCATCCCCCACCTACCGCTTCCGCCCGTACCCTAGCTAGGCCACGTCGCGCCTCCTAGCCCCGTCGCGCCTCCTAGCCACGTCGCCCCCCTCCTGGGCCCCGTCGCGCCTCCTAGCCCCGTCGCGCCCCTCCTGGGCGCTGTCGCTCCACCCTAGCCCTGTCGCGCCACCCTAGCCCCGTCGCGCCGCTCCTGGGCCCCGTCGCGCCTCCTAGCCCCGTCGCGCCCCTCCTGGCCCCCGTCGCGCCACCCTAGCCCCGTTGCACCCTGCCTGGCCTCGTCGCGCCCGCTCGGCCTTGTCGCGCCCTGCCTGGCTCAGTCGCGCCCGCCTGGCCCCGTCGCGCCCTGCTTGGCCCCGTCGCGCCCTGCCTGGTCCCGTCGCGCCCTGCCTGGCCCCGTCGCGCCCGCTCGGCCCCGTCGCGCCCTGCCTGGCTCCGTCGCGCCCGCCTGGCCCCGTCGCGCCCTGCCTAGCCCCGTCGCGCCCTGCCTGGCCCCGTCGCGCCCTGCCTGGCCCCGTCGCGCCTGCCTGGCCCCGTCGCGCCTGCCTGGCCCCGCCGCACCTGCCTGACCCCGTCGCGCCTGCTTGGCCCCGTCGCGCCTGCCTGGCCCCGCCGCGCCTCCCTGGCCCTACCGCGCCTGCCTGGCCCCCGCCACGGCTCCCTGGCCCCGCCGCGCCTCCCTGACCCTGCCGCGCCTCCCTGGCCCCGCCGCGCCTGCCTGGTCCCGCCGCGCCTGCCTGGCCCTGCCGCGCCTGCCTGCTCCCGCCGCGCTTGCCTGGCCCTGCCGCGCCTGCCTGGCCCCGCTGCGCCTGCCTGGCCCCGCCGCGCCTGCCTGGCCCCGCCGCGCCTGCCTGGCCCCGCCGCACCTGCTTGGCCCCGCCAGCACCTGCCTGGCCCCACCGCACCTGCCTGGCCCCTTCGCCCCGGCTCGTCCTGCCGTGCCGCCTCGGGCTCCGTCTCCTCTGCTCGCCCGTGCTGAGGCGCTTCGCGGCTGCCGTGCTGGAGGGGGCTGTCACTGTGTTCCTGCGTCGCTGTGTTCCTGTGGAGCTGTGCCGCTGACCCTGCACGATGGCGGACTTCGTGCTCCGACTGGACGCCGAGGGCCATGCGGTTGACTTCGCCGCCTGGCTCTCCGATCTCCGCCGCCACCTTACAGGTCAGCGCCAGGATGGCCACTCTTTGGTTGTCCATGTCGACGGCTTGCTCCCCCGCCCCCCCGCACCTGCTCCCCTCCCTGCTGATCCCTCATCTGATGACCGTGAGACCTTCTCTACTGCTGCGCTTGCCCGTGCGGTCTGGGACTCTCGCGATGCAGTCGCTCAGGTTGCCATTAGCCACGCCCTCCCTGTCTCTGAGCGCTCGCGTTTTGCTACTATTGAGACGGCCAAAGCCTACTTAGACGCTGTTATTGCCCGCTATTCCACACCCGCGTCTGCTTCTGCTGGTCGCCTGCTCTTCCCTATGCTTTTCCCAGACCTTACAGCTTTCCCTACCGTCGCAGACTTTGTCACTCACCTGCGTGCCCTAGAGACCCGCTATCGCACTGCCAGCACTGCCGCCCAGCTCACTGCGCTCCCCCCCCCTTTCTGCATGACGCTCTATTTTATCGCCATGCGCCTGCCAGACCGCCTCGCTAGTGCTCGCGATCACTTTCTTAGCCAGCACCCGGGTGACCTCACTCTCACTGCCTTTGTCGACACCCTTACCGAGATCGAGACTCGCCAGCGCACTATTGCTCAGTCGAGCGGTGCGCCGGCAGTTTCTATCTTTCACGGTTGTGCCCCCTCCCAGTGTGCGTTCACTGACGTTTCGGCTGCGGTCGCCTCGGCGGCCCCTCTAACCGAGACGGCTGGTGCGGTCCACCCGCAGCAGCGCTCGCGTCGCGGTGGCCGTGGTCGCCAGGGGGGTAGGGGTGGTGGTGGCAGTAGTGGTGGTGACGGTAGTCCGCCTGCGGGGACTACCACTGGTGGGCAGGAGCAGCAGCCCCAGTCGCAGCAGGAGCAGCCCCAGCCGCAGCCGCCGCCCCAGCAGCAGTCACCGTCCCAGCAGCAGTCGCCGCAGCAGTGGGCCCGTCTCCCGCCTGGTTGGCCCGGCACCTCCGGAGGTAGTGGCCGTGGTGGCGGCCCGCGCAGCTTGGCGTCTACCGGCGGCTCTGGTGCTGTCACCTGCCAGTACCAGCTGCAGACCAGGCCTCTTCGCGGCACTCTGTGCCGCCGCCCACACCCGACTGCCCGCTGTTTCCGCCGCCTCGACGATCTCTTTCGTCGTCGCTTTGGCTCGGCCCCGGACCTCCCCGACTGGCACAGCCTGCTCCGCCAGGGCGTGCCGATCTTTGAGTTAGACATGGATCAGCTAGGTGCTGCTTTGCATGCTTTGTATTCTGACGCTTCTAGTTTTGCTGGATCTTATTACCCTGTGTACTCTAGTTTAGGTGTTGCACCACTGTGTAGCTTAGCCTCCCCTGCTGCGTCAGGCGTAGGACTGCCTAGGTTGCCTAGTCTAGTCGCTGCACCGGCTCCGTCCCCAGCCTCCGCCACTGCGTCGCTGTCCTTCACTCTCGACTCCGGTGCTTCTGCCTGCTTCTTCCGCGACCGTTCCACGCTCACGCCGCTTGCTGCACCTGCTGTTGTCTCTCTCGCTGACCCCTCTGTGGGTCCTGTTGTCGCGCGCAGTTCTACGTCCCTTCCCTGTCCGGCAGTTCCCTCGGGCTCCCTTACTGGCCTCCACGTTCCCTCGTTCTCGCGGAACCTGGTTGGTGTCGGCTGTCTCCAGGACCTCGGCGTCACCACCACGTTCCCCGGGCACGAGCGGTTCGCTGTCTGTTCTGAGGCTGTCTCTGGTTCCCCCCTTGCGACGTTCCCCCTGGACCCGGTGTCCGGTCTGTTTACCCTAGACACCGCTTCCCCCCCGGTTGGTGCGTCCTCCCAGGTCGCTGCAGCTTGCTCGTGTCGGTCCCTCACTCACCCCTCCCTTCTCTGGCATCACCGCTTAGGTCACCCTGCTCTCCCGCGTCTGCGTCACATGTCCCAGCACGGTCTTGTCTTAGGTCTCCCCGCGTCGCTCCCTGCCCTTCCTCCCTCGACTGCGCCACCGCGCACGCCTTGCGTCGAGGGTCGGCTCCGCCGTGCTCCTCACTCCTCCTCGCTGCGTCCTGCTACTGCCCCCCTTCAGACCCTGCACCTGGACGTTTGGGGCCCTGCCCCCGTCCCCGGACCGCGCGGTGAGCGCTACTTCCTTAAGCTCGTCGACGACTACACGCGCTACACCACGGTGTTTCCCCTGGAGCGGAAGGCCGACGTGCCCGACGTTCTTCTCCCGTGGGTTGTGGCTGCGCGTCTCCACCGCGGTCTCCCCGTGTTGTGTCTCCACTCCGACCGTGGCGGCGAGTTCGCCTCTGGTCGGCTTGGACAGTTCTGTCGTGCGGAGGGCATCACCCAGTCGTACACGTTGCCGGACTCGCCACAGCAGAATGGGGTTGCTGAGCGCCGCATCGGCTTGGTCATGGAGGTCGCCCGTACATCCATGATCCATGCCGATGCCCCCCATTTTCTGTGGCCGTTCGCTGTTCGCTACGCTGCTCACCAGCTTAACCTGTGGCCACGCTCCCAGCGGCCGCAGGTTTCGCCGACCCTCCTATGGACCGGGTCCCCCGGTGACGCGTCTGCGTTCCACGTCTGGGGCTGCCTTGCTCACATTCGTGCCTCTGGCACGGACAAGCTCACTGCCCGCACTGTCCCCTGTGTCTTCCTCGGTTTCCCCCTGGACTCGTCTGACTGGCTTTTCTATCACCCGCCGTCTCACCGCTTCCTGCACTCTCGTAACGTCACCTTTGACGAGTCCGTCTCCTTCTACCGCCGCTTCCCTCACCGAGGTCTCCCAGTTGCCCCCCCCCTGTTCCTTGCTCCCTCTCCCCCGGTAGCCCCTGCCCCTCTCCCGCCTCGTCCTGCCCCGTCTGGTGTCTCTCACGTCACTCCCCTCCAGTCGGTTGTCCCCGTTGAGGAGTCTGCTGACTCTGGTGGTACCCCCGGTCCGTCCTTGCCGCATCCCCCTTCCCCGGTGCCTCCGCCCCCACTGCCGCAGTCGCCGACCCCGCTGCCTCCGCCGTCGCCGTCGCTGCCACAGCCGTCGCCGCTGTCGCCGCTGTCGCCGCCGCCGCAGC